TGTCTGGTGGCAAGCTGTTCCACTGGTCAATTGTCCTCACTGTTAGGAAGTTTCTCCTTAATTCCAGGTTGCTTCTCTCTTTGATGAGTTTCCATCCATGGTTTCTTGTTCTGCCTTCAGGTGTTTTGGAAAATAAGTTGACCCCCTCCTCTTTGGGTCAGCCCCTCAAATACTGGAATGTTGCTATCATGTCCATTAGTCCTCCTTTTCTCTAGACTGGCCAAACCCAAATTCCTGCAACCCTTCATCATCTGTTTTAGTCTCCAGGCCTTTAATCCAGGGGTGGGCAAATGTGGCCCTTTTACAACCTGTGGATTTCAACTCCCAGAATTCCTGAGACAAGCAAGGTGGCTCAGGAATTCTGGGAGTTTTTTTTTAAAATTTGATTTATATGCCACCCTTCTCCGGAGACTCAGGGCGCCTTACAGTGCTTTAAGCAATAGCCTTCATCCTTTTTGTATATTTATACAAAGTCAACTTATTGCCCCCACAATCTGGGTCCTCATTTTACCTACCTTAGAAAGGATGGAAGGCTGAGTCGACCTTGAGCCTGGTGAGATTTGAACTTGCAGTAATTGCAGACAGCTGGTGTTAATAACAGTGCTTTAGTCCACTATACTACAGGCTCTTTATATTTTATACAAAATAAACTTTTGTATATTTTATACAAAGTCAGCTTATTGCCCCCACAATCTGGGTCCTCATTTTACCTACCTTAGAAAGGATGGAAGGCTGAGTCAACCTTGAACCTTGGTGAGATTCGAACCTGCAGTAATTGCAGGCAGCTGAATGATAATAACAGTGCTTTTAGTCTGCTGCGCCACCAGGGCTCTTCTAGTTGAAGTCCACAGGTTGTAAAAGGGCCGCATTTGCCCACCCCTGCTTTACCAGCTTAGTTCAAACTAAGTTCACCCATCCTAAAAATAATGTAGGATGGGTGAATTTAGTTGAACTTTAAGGGAACTTCAATTCCCAGAATTCTGTGCATCTTAAAAAGCTGCCAAGCTTGAGAAACGCTGGATTGATGCCCCCAAGAAGCAGCCCCCATGGGGTCTTGTAAGGCCGATTCCCCCCACACACACAAAGCCCCCTTTGCGCAGCTGAAAGAACCGCAGGCCGGCCCTGATCCCTTAACAACAACCCCGCAAGGTAGACCCGCGAAAGGATGGAGAATAAAGAACTAAAGACGGGGCGGGGGGGGCCTTCGATACCCCCCCCCCACCCTCTGGATGCACCTCCCCTCCCAACCCCCCCCCCAGGCCCGCGCGTGATCCTCCGCCCAAGGGGATGGCGTTGTGGCGCCCGCGGGCGCCCGGTTGGAGATGGCCGAGACCCTTCGGGTCAAGCCTGACCGGACGCCGGCCTCGAACTTTTGTGGGAGCCTCGGAGGGGAATCCCAGCGAGGCGCGGCCGGCGTGCTGACGGGCTCCCGGCGAAGGAAAGGGCTCTACTCACGCAGCGTCGCCGGGAAGACAACGAGGGAGCCGGCCTGAGGGAGATGCTCACGCCGCCTCACGCTCCGGCGGAAAGAAGGCAGGCGCGCGCCGCGCAGGGGGTTATGGGAGCGGCGTCTCTCCCGGGCGAGCTCACTCTCTGCAGAACCGAGGGGGGGGGAAAGAAAGAGAGAGGGCGATACCAACAGGGGCAACCGAGTCGGAAGGGGAGAATCCGCGGCGGCGACGACAAAATCGAGTGTATCCAATACGGCTTCGTGAGCGCGATGAGAGGTGAAGCTTTTTCTTCTTCTTCTTCCTTCTTCTCGTTCTTGCTCCCCACCCCCCCGACAAAGATGGAATGGGCCAGGTTGTTGAGAGGACGAGGCCACGATAGGGGGGGGTGTTTAAAGCTGAGGGTTTTTTTTTTTTCCTCCTAGAAAATGATTTCTTATCTTGGTTTTACGCGTTGTCGCCACACATAGGAAGAAAATGGTTTCTCACAGAGAGTAGTCCCGAGGAATTTAAGGGTGGGGAGAAAAACTTTCTTGCCCCCCCTCTATTTGCTAGATTGAAGTAGTCCAAAGGGTCCTGGAGGAAACCAATGTAGCGCCAGGGAAGGGGAGGAAAATGAGTGGAATGGTCTACTACGGCAAAAGAAGAAGGCGGGGAGGAGAGTTCATCCCTTCCCAGCTGAGAATAACCTGGGCAGATTCTGGGTCTGGAATAGATGGGAGGAGATGCAAAGGTGCCAACATCTGCATACCTCCAACCTCTGCATTAATCCCACTCCAAATCCTGATCAGAAACATCCGAATGGAAACCAAGGCTCAGTTTAAAAACCAGCCCTCTTAACAGTGTGTGAAGTTTTATATCCAAATATACATTATTCTTTATTACTCTTTCCATCTTCCCTTAAAATGTTAACAGAATCCACAAGAGTCCAAAAATCATCAAATTAGCAAACTTCTTCAAACCCCTGAAATAAATTACCAAGACCTAATCCACATATCAAAGGATAAGGTCTGCAAACACAAAGAGTTAATTACATTAGGTCTCCCAGAGGAACTACATGGGTCACAAGAATAAACATACCTTACATACACACACACATGCCCCTTAAGTGTCACCCTAGAATCAGCAGCCAGCAAGCCCCCCCTATAAAAACCTGCTACCCCGTGCCCCATTTCTCTGTAGCCTGCCCCTAAATACAAAACTGTTTTGCTTTTAGGAATAAATATTTCCTCTTTCCTCACAGCTGTCTGGATCTCATTTTTATTTATTCTTGTGCAACCGCACCTCGAGTTGGAACCCCCAATTTTTTCTTCTGACAACAGGGTGACAACCTAAAGCTGTTTTTCATTCCTGAAAACCATTTTCACTCATCCCAACAGTTCCTGGGGAAAGCTCAGCAGACTTTTGGGTTAGTTCCAGTGCCATTGTAACTTTCAACAATCACTAAAAAAATCGCTGTAAGTCAAGGACTGCCTGTAATTAAAGAAAAGAAAAAAAAAAAAGAGGGTAGCCTTATTTATTTAGGGCAGGTGGAAAAAAACAGGAGTTTAGTGTCACTTTTTTTAGTGATTTTTTTTTTTGGTTAGTTTCATAATCAGATTTAGTTCTTGAAAACTGATGCCTTAGAGCAGTGTTTCTCAACCTTGGAAGCTTGAAGATGGATGGACTTCAACTCCCAGAATCCCCCAGCCAGCAGTGCTGGCTGGGGGATTCTGGGAGTTGAAGTCCACCCATCTTCAAGCTTCCAAGGTTGAGAAACACTGCCTTAATCTCAGTAGAGATTCTCAGTCATTCAGGTCATGGTTATCCCACAGGGTTTTACTTTTAGCTATACAATTTAGGATGACCACCCTTTGAATGGTGTGGAAAATAGAATGGATTCCCAGAGAAAAAAATTGCAGACTACAGAAACCATTTGCACCACCGAGGTGACCCCGAGGACACAGAATAAACCTCTTAAGTGGCCTCAATGGCCATCTAAAAAGGGTGCAAATGACCAGCTATCTGCAAGGAATATAAATCCTTCCATTCCCCACCATTCAGTCAGAACTGAAGAAGCTTCTGGGATGTGAAGTGAAACATCTTCAAAAAAAAAAAAAAAAGACAGAAAGTCCAGTTGCGTCCTGAAAAAGCACCTGATACCTTAGAATATAATTTTTGAGTTGCAAAGAGGGCTAGCGGATTCCTGATTTTTGGGGCCATTTGCTCCCTGTAAGCCAAGTTTATTTTTCACATTTCGAACACCATCAACTTCTGGTGGCAAGCTGTTCCACTGGTTAATTGTCCTGACGGTTAGGAAATTCCAGGTTGCTTCTCTCCTTGATGAGTTTCCATCCGTTGCCTCTTGTCCTGCCCTCAGGTGCTTTGGAGGATAGGTGGACCCCCACTTCTTTGTGGCAGCCCTTCCAGTTTTGGAAGACTGCTATCATGCCTCCCCTTCTTTTTTCTAGACTGACCATACCCAAATCCTGCAACTGTTGTTCGTATGTTTTAATCTCCAGACAGGGGGTTGGACTAGAAGACCTCCAAAGTCCCTTCCAGCTCTGTTATTCTGTTAAGTGATTGCATGACCCTGGCACATTGCCACCGTCATAAATATGAGCCAGTTGCCAAGCGTCTGAATTTAATCACGTGGCCACGGGGATCCTGCAACAGTTGTCCCAAAAGTGTCCCAAAATGGGTAAGCGTCAGAGGTGGGTTTCAGCAGGTTCTGACGAACCGGTAGCGGAAATTTTGAGTAGGTCGGAGAACTGGTAGTAAAAATTCTGATTGGCCCGGCCCCCATCTATTCTCTGCCTCCCAAGTCCCAGCTAATCGGGAGGAAACGGGGATTTTGCAGTATCCTTCCCCTGGAGTGGGGAGGGAATGGAGATTTTGCAGTATCCTTCCCCTGGAGTGGGGAGGAAATGGGGATTTTGCAGTAACCTTCCCCTCATAGTTGAGGTCTACCTATGATGACAATTCAGGCCTCTCATCTTTTTAAGTGGGAGAACTTGCACAATTGGTGGCTGATTAAATATTTTTTTGCCCCGCTGTATGTTTAAACAATATGGTAGTTGTCAGGATGGAGTAAGGGGATTCTATTTTAATACAATATGTGTACTATACTAGGATTAGTAAGAATGGCCTGATTAAATAGAATGAAAGAATTAAATGGAAAGATTAGAGGCTGAAAGACAGTATTATTATGCATGTTTCCTGTTGTAACTGGCATTAGAATGATACATTGAAATATTGAATGATTAAATAATGAAGGTTTATATCTTAATACAAATAGGAGTATTAATACTAGGAGTATATAAGCTTAATCAATGTAACAAACATTATTGATATGGGTATTGTTATTTGTATCAAAATGAATGATACCCAAATCCCACACTGTTCATGTATTGATGTCGATGTAGATATAAAAATAAAATAAAAAAACATATAACCCCCCAAAAAACCCAAACCTCCATTGTAGCTACCTCCAGCTGCAAAATAGCTCTTGCCTTCAGAGGGCCGAGGAAAGAAGACCAAGCAGAGATAGATAGAAAGAAACAAACAAACTCATAGCCAACAACGGAGCTACCATGGTTTATTCCGCCAATGGGAAAAGTTTGGAATGGATCACACCCAGGTCGTAATAACCGGGTACCTGGAAGTGGGCACGATGTCGCCTGCGTTTGGTGACATCCTCCTGCATTGCAGAATTACAGAATTTCGTCAATGACAATATGCACAATGAGGGGGTACCGTCTTCACCATGGGCAAAATGCCCGTGAGCACCCACCATGCCAAAGTCCTGGCAATTTCCTTCGGGTGGAAAGCCGTGGCCCCCTGCTCCTCCAGCTGCAGATGTGGACACGATGCGCGAGAGGGAGGCCCACATCCTTCTTCCACAAGAAACGTGGTACCCATGAGCCTCCACGCACACCTGCTACCTGTTGCCCAGCTCACGAGCCCGGCTTGTGGCCGCTTCCACGGCGTTCATGACCGTAGCTCGCAGGGACCCCTTTTCCAACTCGTGCAAGGCGTGGATGGTGGTGCCACCTGGGGTGCAAACGGCACTCCTAAGAACAGCAGGGTGGTCCCCGGTTTCCAGCAACATTTTGGCTGCTCCCTGGAGGAGAGGAGAGAAATCGGAGGTTTCAAGTGAAGGGACAGGATGGACAGAGCATAAAGCACTGATGGAAGAGAATATTCAATAGGAGCGCCGTGGTGGCGCAGTGGTTAGAGTGCAGTACTGCAGGCGACTTCTGGGGACTACCGGCTGCCTGCAATTTGGAAGTTCAAGTCTCACCAGGCTCAAGGTTGACTCAGCCTTCCGTCCTTCCAAGGTGGGTAAAATGAGGAGCCAGATTGTTGGGGGCAATAGGCTGACTCTGTAAACCGCTTAGAGCAGGGGTGAAATCCAACAGGTTCTGGAGAACCGGTAGTGGAAATTTTGAGTAGTTCAGAGAACGGGCAAATACCACCTCTGGCTGGCCCAAGGAGTGGGGTAGGAATGGAGATTTTGCAATATCATTCCCACAGGAGGGGAGGGAATGGAGATTTTGCAGTATCGTTCCCCTGGAGTAGGGTGGGAATGGAGATTTTGCAATATCCTTCCCCTGCCATGCCCACCAAGCCACACCCACAGAACCAGTAGGGAAAAATTTTGGATTTCACCCCTGGCTTAGAGAGGCTGTAAAGCACTGTGAAGCGGTATATAAGCCTAAGGGCTATTGCTAAGTGGGAAGGAAGGAAGGAAGGAAGGAAGGAAGGAAGGAAGGAAGGAAGGACCATGGTGTAGTAGTGGTTAGAATACAGCATTGCAGGCTGACTCTGCTCACTGCCAACAGTTCTATTCTGACCAGCTCAGCCTGCCGTCCTTCCGAGGTGGGTAAAATGAGGACCCAGATTGTTGGGGGCAAGAGACTGACTCTGTAAACCGCTTAGAGGGGACTGTAGAACACTGTGAAGCGGTATATAAATCTAAGTGCTATTGCTATTTGTAGCTCAGGCTTGAACTGGGGGTCCTTGATGCTCTCTGAACTTGGCTGTTTTTGGGGAGACGCTTCATGACCCATCTAAATAACATTGCTAGAAGGCAGTAGGATTTGTGGAATGGAGGAGGGGAATTGGAGGAGGAGGAGGACTATGGGCAGGGATGGGTCACCGCTACCGGCTCGGCCGAACCGGGCTGAACCAGGAGGAACCCACCACTGACTGTGGGGTAGATGATCTACAAGATCCCTTCTGTCCATCTGTTAAAAGTTAAAATCCTCACCCCTTCTTACCAGCAAAGTTTGAGCTGCAATCTTGTTGGCCAGCTGGCCGGGCATTCCCATCTTCACTGCACCTTCCGCCAGGGCTTCCGCGAACATGTAGGCCTGCGTCAAGGGAGGAAACAAACCACGATCTTAAGCTACGCGTCCACATGGCTGAATCCACAGGCCATCCACAGGAGAGCTTCAGCGGACTTTACAGTCTTCAGACGGATCCCAAACGTCGGAGAGGACCATCAAAGGCAGAATAAAGCTTTGGAGGCGTGAAGAGATCGGAGGACAGGACTCACCGAACAAACTCTACTTCCTCCATCAGGAAATACAGGTAGTCCTCGACTTACAACGGTTCGTTTAATGACCATTTGAAGTTACAACAGCAATAAAGAGTGACTTGCGACTGTTTTTCACAGTTATGACCGTTGCAGTAGCCCCGTGCATCACATGTTTAAAATTCAGATACTTGGCAACGGACTCATATTTATGACGGGTTGAACTGTCTTGCAAGGGGGGGGAGCCAGATTCACTTAACCACTGGGTTACTCACTGGTCAACTGCCGTGGTTCGCTTAACAACGGTGGCAAGAAAGGTTGTAAAATGGAGCAAAACTCACTTGACTGTCTCACCTAGCAAGAGAGGTTTTGGGCTCAATTGTGGTCGTAAGTCAAAGACAACCTGTACATTCTTCAGTCTTCCACAGACTGAGGTCTGCCTAAGTGTCAGACTACAATTCCCAGAATTCCTAATAACCCACAGCAACAAGCCAACATCGCTAGAGAACATGGTGAGGAAGGCTGAGGGTTCCTGGTTATTTTTGGAAGTCGCCCATGATTTAGGTTTGTAATTATTGTTTCTTGGTGGGGAGGGGGGGCTGAGGGTAGAGACAGGTTGCAGAAAAAGAAATGAGGAGGACCTGCATGTGGACTAGAAACTTAAGATTTTTAAAGAAAAAACCCTGCCTGATGGGACTGCGGGAGGCCAGGTGCCATATCTGCAATTTGCAACAAATACAGGTAGTCCTCAACTGACGACCACAATTGAGCTCAAACTTTCTGTTGGTGAGACATTGAGTGTATTTCACCCCGTTTTACGACTTTCCTTGCCACCGTCGTTAAGTGAATCCCTGCGGTAGTAACCCGGTTGCGAAGCGAACCTGGCTTCCCCATGGATTTTGCTCGTCAGAAGGTCGCCAAAGGGGACCAGCTGACCCTGGGAAGCCATGACCGTCATAAATATGAAACCTGTTACCAAGAGTCAAAAACTTCGATCACGTGTCCATGGGGATGCTGCAACGGTCACTAAGTGTGAAAAACGGCCGTAAAGTCGCCGTTGTAACTTTGGTCGCTAAATGAATTGGTTGTAAGTTGAACACTCCCTGTATAAGTGGCGGATGAAGGAGCCAGCGGGAAAAGGACACTCACGTAAGCCACGCCGCTGCCACTCAGCGCCGTGTGGATGTCGATGTAGGACTCGGGGGCCTCTTCGCACAAGCCGCACGAGGCCAGCAGGTTCTTCAGCAGCGAGACCTCCTCTTCCCCCACGGAGGACCCTCGAGAGAGCAGGACAGCCCCCGACCGCACCTCGCAGGGAAGGTTGGGCATCATACGCAGCACCCGCGTCCCCGCAGGAAGCAGCTGCCGAGGAAGGAGACAAGGGCACCCAGTGAGAGACCCCCCCGGCAGACTCACCCTGCGGCAGGGTGGATAAAACTTGATGTTTTTTTAAAAAATAAAAAAAATCAGAGTTTTTTAAAATTTCAATCAGATTTTTTTTTATTTTTATCTGATTTATTTTAATAAAATGCTTTTAGCCAATGGTGAAATTCAATTTTTTTTACTACTGACTCTGTGGGTGTGGCCTGGTGGGCCTGGTGTGGTTTGGTGGCCGTGGCAGGGGAAGGATACTGCAAAATCCCCATTCCCTCTCCACTCTTGGGAGAAGGATACTGCAAAATCCCCATTCCCACCCCATTCCTGGGGAAGGATACTGCAAAATCTCCATTCCCTCCCCACTCCTGGGGGAAGGATACTGCAAAATCCCCATTCCCACCCCACTCCTGGGAGAAGGATACTGCAAAATCTCCATTCCTCCCCACTCCTGGGGGAAGGATACTGCAAAATCCCCATTCCCACCCCACTCCTGGGAGAAGGATACTGCAAAATCTCCATTCCCACCCCACTCCTGGGAGAAGGATCCTGCAAAATCCCCATTCCCTCCCCACTCCTGGGGGGAAGGATCCTGCAAAATCCCCATTCCCTCCCCACGCCTGGGGGAAGGATCCTGCAAAATCCCCATTCCCTCCCCACTCCTGGGAGAAGGATACTGCAAAATCCCCATTCCCTCCCCACTCCTGGGGGAAGGATATTGCAAAATCCCCATTCCCTCCCCACTCCTGGGGGAAGGATACTGCAAAATCCCCATTCTTTCCCCACTCCTGGGGCCAGCCAGAGGTATGGTATTTGCTGGTTCTACTATAGGTTCTCCGAACTACTCAAAATTTCTGCTACCGGTTTTCCCGAACCTGCTGGATTTCATCCCTGCTTTTAGCCATGCAATTTGGGATGGACACCCTTTGAATGGTGTGGGAGTAGGAATGGATTTCCACAGGGGAGAAAAAAATGGCAGACCACAGGAACTATTTGCACCACTCAGGTGACCCTGAGGACACAGATAAACCTCCAAGTGCTTCAACGACCCCCTAAAACAGGGGTGATAAACTCAAGGACCGTGGGCCGGATCAGGCCCGCAATGTGGTCGGATCCAGCCCACGGGGCCGTCCTGCAAAATGTAAGGGTCTCGCCCACATTGCTTCGGCCTGCTCTACCCAATGCAAAGAGGAAACATGCCAGCAGTTTGGGGAGTGGTGTCAAGCTGGCCACACCCACCCAGCTGGCCACGCCCACCCAGTCAGCAACCCCCCCCCATGCCCCCCCGAGGTTAACCACAGCCCCAATGAAATTGAGTTGGACACCCCTGATCTAAAAGGATGCAAAGGACCAGCTGTCTGCAAGGAGTATCAATCCTTCCATTCCCCACCATCCAGTCAGAGCTGAAGAAGCTTCTCGGAGGAGAAGCGAAACGTCTTCAAAAGGGAAAAAAAAACCAAGGAAGTCCAGTTGCCTCCTGAAAAAGCACCTTTGGGACACCTACGGGTTTGCTCTTCGTGGAACTCACCTCTTCCAGGGTCCGGAGGGGGACTCCAGCGGCCATGGAAATGAGGACGTGGCTGTTGGTGACCGCGGGGCCGATCTCCTGCAGAACGACCGGGAGGATGTGGGGCTTGGTGGCCAGGAATACGAAGGAGCACTTCTCCAGCACCTCCAAGTTGCGATGGGTTGTCCGGCAAGCGAAGCCCTTTGGTTGAGGAAGGAAGGAAGGAAGGAAGGAAGGAAGGAAGGAAGGAAGGAAGGAAGGAAGGAAGGAAGGTAGGAAGGTAGGAAGGAAGGAAGGTAGGAAGGAAGGAATAGCAATATTACTTAGACTTATATACCGCTTCAGAGCTTCCCAGCCCTCTCTAAACAGTTTATAGAGTCAGCCTCTTGCCCCCAACAATCTGGGTCCTCATTTTACCCACCTCGGAAGGACGGAAGGCTGAGTCAACCTTGAGCCCGGTGAGATTTGAAAGCCGGCAGGCAGCAGAAGTAGCCTGCAGTACTGCACTCTAACCACTGCGCCAACGCGGTTTATACGGTCCCCCCACAGAGGGACCCCCTTTCTGCCCAAGAAACGGACTCATTCCTCTCTACAACCCCAGCAGGATCAAAGATTCCAAACCTGGATTGCAGGGAGTCCTTGAATTACGACTGCAACTGCGCCCAAAACTTAGGTTGCTAAGTGAGAAATTCGTTAAGCGAAGTCTTGCCCCGTTTTACGACTTTTCTCGCCACAGCTGTTAAAAGTGAATCACTGCGGTTGTTAAGTGAGTGACACGGTTGTTAAATGAATCCGGCTTCCCCATGGACTTTGCTCGTCAGAAGGTCGCAAAAAGGGGAATGAGTCAGTTGCCAGGCGTCTGACTTTTGATCACGTGACCCTGGGGATGATGCTGGAATGGTCACTAAGTTTGAAAAACAGTCATAAATCAATTGTAACTTCAAATGGTCACTAAATGAACCGTCGTAAGTCGAGGACTCCCTGTATATGTGCAGGAAAATCTGCAGAATTCTCCTCAAGAGATCAAGAACAAACCTTCATTTGGCACTTCTTCAACCGACCACAGGCCTAGCTTTCTTTACAAGGGGGACCCAAAGAACTGGAGGGAGCGTTTACGTCTGCTTTGAACTGACCACAATCAGTCATGGACTGAGTTCACACACCCCAAAGGTTTTTTGAGCAAGCCACCTTTGGCTGAGTTTGCACCACACGTGAAGTTGTAAAGCTACCGTCTGAAACGACAGCTGCAGGATTGACGCGCAGGGCGCCGAGTGAAAATCAAACCAAATATATTTTATTTATTTTATTATTTTATTTATTAAATTTGTATACCGCCCTTCTCCTTTCGGACTCAGGGCGGTGAACAGCCAAAATAAAAACATTTGTACACAAAAGTTAAAATAATTAAAACTAATTAAATGAAATTTGGCCCATAATTTAAAACATATCAATTAAAATCAGTATCAAACATTAAACATGGAATCAGGCCAGCTGAAAAAAGTAAGTTTTGAGGGCCCGACGAAAAGTCCGGAGGTCTGGGATCACTCATATCTCTGGAGGTAGATCGTTTCAGAGGGTAGGTGCCACCGCAGAGAAGGCTCTCCCCCTGGGGGTCACCAGCCGACACTGTCTGGCCGACGGCACCCTGAGGAGGCCCTCTCTGTGGGAGCGAACCAGCCGGTGGGAGGCAATTGGTGGCAGAAGGCGGTCCCATAAGTACCCTGGCCCTAAGCCATGGAGCGCTTTAAAGGTGGTCACCAACACCTTGAAGCGCACCCGGAAGTCCACCGGAAGCCAATGCAGCTCGCGCAGGAGAGGAGTCACATGGGAGTGCCCCGTCGCTCCCATAATCCCCCGCGCGGCCGTATTTTGCACCAGTTGGAGCCTCCGGGTGCACCCCAAAGGGAGCCCCATGTAGAGAGCGTTACAATAGTCCAGGCGAGAAGTGACGAGTGCTCGAGTGACCGTGCGTAAGGAGTCCCGATCTAGAAAGGGGCGCAACTGGCGTATCAGGCGAACCTGATAAAAAGCCCCCCTGGTCACGGCCGTCGTATGCTCTTCCAAAGACAGCCGTGCATCCAGGAGGAAGCCCAAGTTGCGGGCCCTTTCCGTGGGGGCCAATGATTCACCCCCAATAACCAGCGATGGCACCAGCTGGCTATACCGGGACGCCGGCAGCCACAGCCACTCGGTCTTGGAAGGGTTGAGTCGAAGCCTGTTTCTCCCCATCCAGACCCGCACGGCCTCCAGGCACTGGGACATCACTTCCAAGGCATCGTTGGGATGGTCTGGGGTGGAGATGTACAGCTGAGTATCATCAGCTGTATATCACGGCACCGAGCCCACTGAAAAACCAATTTTATTTTCTCTGGAAACACAAAATAATTCCACTCCTCTCCAATCCATTTGGTGGATTGGCACCGCAATTCAAATAGGCTAGGCATCAACTTCATTTATTGCAGGAATTTGCACGCAATCTAATCGTCCATCGTCTTAGGACGTTACGACAGACGCGATCCAATTCATCTAGAGGCATCTGGATTTATTGGTCTGTTTAAATTTTATCGTTTTTATAATAATCGCCCACTCCGGAAGATTCTGGGTGGCTTACAATAACAAATAAACAATGCGAAGAATTAAAACTCAAAGAAATATGGCAGCCCAGACTATAAACAACCATACCAATAAAAACACAATGCAAAATATAACATGGGCTTCATTAACACCACTGATCCAGGCTGGGAACAAATTGGAGAAAAATTGACTATTCCAAGCTAACTCAAAGGTGCTTTTCTCAGGAGGCAACTGGACTTCCTTGTTTTTTTCTTTGAAGATGTTTCACTTCTCATTTAAGAAGCTTCTTCAGTTCTGGCTGGATGGTGGGGAATTGAAGGATTTATACTTCTTGCAGAGAGCTGGTCATTTGCATCCTTTTAGAGGGTCTTTGAGGCCACTTGGAAGTTTCTCTGTGTCCTCAGGGTCACCCGAATAGTGCAAATGGTTCCCGTAGTCTGAAATTACTAAAGAACTAGGAGCACTATTCAGATGACCTGAGGACACAGACAAACTTCCAAGTGCTTCAAAGACCCTCTAAAAAGGATGCAAATGACCAGCTTTGTCTGCAAGGAGTATAAATCCTTCCATTCCCCACAATCCTGTCAGAGCTGAAGAAGCTTCTTGTCGAGAAACGAAACATCTTCAAAAGAAAAAAGAAAGTCCAGTGGCCTCCTGAAAAAAGCATCTTTGGGACAACCAGGACCTGGATGACTGAGAATCTCTACAGACTTTTATTCCAAGGTAACGTTGAGTTTTCTGAGCAGCCTTTACCACCTGGTATAGCCCGAGCACCACGTGACCAGGCGAGCTCCCATTCCTTGCCTCTGCTCCTGCCCATCTAGCAGTTCAAAAGCATGCAAATGCAAGTAGATAAATGGGTACCACTTCGGTGGGAAGGGAAGAGTGTTCTTCTCCACATGACTGTGGAGAATGTCTTCAAAGAACGCTGGTTCCCTCGGGCAAGAAACGGAGATGGAGGCAGAAGTGACCGGGGGAAACTTTACCTGTATATATTTACCTGGAATTTGTCCAGATTCCTGCTGGATGGAGCACTGGCCAGGATATTGACTGCTTGGACTTCTCCTACAAGGAGAGAGAAAAGGATGACAATAGTAGGAGAACCCATCACTGGATTACAAACTCATTGAGTTCTAACTTTCCAAGATTCACAACAGGAGACAGAAGCTACGAAAAGTAGACTTTCAGCTATACACCCTCTAAAATCTAAATATTTAATAAGGCTGGGTTGGGCGTCCCACCAACTCTGCTGAAGAGCAGTTCAGATTTCTTGCTAAGTCTTCCTAAGTCGGATGAAGGTCAAGGTGAGAAGATGCTGCCAATTGTCTAAAAGGTACTTTTCTCAAAAGGCAACTGAAGTTGGGTTGTTTTGGTTTTTTTGACGGAGGAGGAGGAATAGAAGAAATAGAAATAGAAATAGAAGAAGAGGAGAAGTAGAAGAAAAAAATAGAAACAGATGAAGAGGAGGAGAAGAATAAATAGAAATAGAAGAAGAGGAGAAGTAGAAGAAATAGAAGAAATAGAAATACAAGAAGAGGAGGAAGAGGAGAAATAGAAGAAGAAATAGAAATAGAATAAGAGGAAGAGGAGGAAGAGGAGGAGAAGTAGAGAAGAAGAAGAAATAGAAGAATAGAAATAGACGAAGAGGAGGAGGAGAAGTAGAAGAAATAGAAGAAATAGAAATAGAAGAGGAGGAGGAGGAGAAATAGAAGAAGAAATAGAAATAGAATAAAGAGGAGGAAGAGGAGGAGAAGTAGAAGAAATAGATGAAGGAGGAGAAGTAGAAGAAGAAATAGAAATAGAAGAAGAGGAGGAGGAGAAATCGAAGAAATAGAAGAAATAGAAGAAGAGGAGAAGTAGAAGAAATAGAAGAAATAGAAATACAAGAAGAGGAGGAGGAGGAGAAATAGAAGAAGAAATAGAAATAGAATAAAGAGGAAGAGGAGGAAGAGGAGGAGAAGTAGAAGAAGAAATAGAAGAATAGAAATAGACGAAGAGGAGGAGGAGAAGTAGAAGAAATAGAAGAAATAGAAATAGAAGAGGAGGAGGAGGAGAAATAGAAGAAGAAATAGAAATAGAATAAAGAGGAGGAAGAGGAGGAGAAGTAGAAGAAATAGATGAAGGAGGAGAAGTAGAAGAAGAAATAGAAATAGAAGAAGAGGAGGAGGAGAAATTGAAGAAATAGAATAGAAGAAGAGGAGAAGTAGAAGAAATAGATGAAGAGGAGGAGAAGTAGAAGTAGAAGAAGAAATAGAAATAGAAGAAGAGGAGAAGTAGAAGAAGAAATAGAAGAAATAAAAATAGAAGAGGAGGAAGAGGAAAAATAGAAGAAGAAACAGAAGAAGAAATAGAAATAGGAGAAGAGGAGGAGGAGAAATAGAAGAAGAAATAGAAGAAAAAATAGAAGAGGAGGAGGAGGAGAAGAAAAAAATAGAAGAAATAGAAATAGAAGAAGAGGAAGAGGAGGAGAAATAGAAGAAGAAATAGAAAAAGAAAAGAGGAGGAGAAATAGAAAAAATAAAAATAGAAGAAGAGGAGGAAGGAGGAGGAAGGAGGAGGAGGAGAAGAAGAAGCAGCTTCATTGGTTCTACACCATTAGGAACAGAAAGCTTCAGATTGACGTCGGCATGGTGCACCGCCGTTGTCTCTCAACCATGGCAGGTTAAGACGTGTGGACTTCAGAACCCCCAGAATTCTGAGAGTCAAAGTCCAGACCTCTTGAAACGGCCACGGCTGAGGAACCCCCCAGTCTCCAGGAAGGTTAATATGTCCGAAAGAGGTTGCTTCACCCTCCAGCTTTCCAAACCTGCGGTGGTTAATCTTCTAACCAACGATCCCAATAGATTGGACAGTTACCATCTGAGCTCCAATATTCCGTTTTGGGCCAGGGCACTCCAGACCGCGAGGGTGAACCATCTCTCGGATTAAACCTATCCGCGGGTTCGGCTTTAGCCTGGCTTCCAAGGTGTCTCTGGAACTCAAATAGCCTTCTCTGTCTGGTGGGATGCATTCTATCGGGACACGAGCCGGGGAGGCCTCTCTTCGTGGCTTCCGCTTGAATTCCCACCAATTTGGGGTGCCAGCGGCTTCCGCGTCCTTCCGGATTGTCTCGCAAGGATAAGACTTCAGGACGCTGCAGGACAGTCGATCCTGAAGGGCAGATTCCAGAGAAATAGTACTCTTCCTCGAGACACCCCCCCCCCTCTATCTTGCCTTCTGGACTAATTAACATTTGCATAAAATATTAACTCCCGTTGGAGAGTGGTGCGGTGGCCTAGAAGTGGCACTCTCGCCTCACAATCAGGAGGCTGCGAGTTCGATCCTAGGTAGAGGCGGCTATTTCTCTCTCTCTGAGCACAATGAGAATGTATTTGCCGAATATAACTCCGCACTGGAGACAGGAAGGGTATCCGGCCAGTAAAACATTCCGCTAGTCCATTCAGTTGCCCCGAGTCTACCCCGCAAGGGATTATGGGATCATTAAAAGGAGATGTTTAACACCTGCTGGAGAAACAGGTGGCAGTTGTGGCCGCGACTTCATGTTTTGCACCAGTCGCAGCCTTTCCTGGTCCAGGATTCCCAGTCGTTCAGTCCCTGGTCATCTCACAACTGGACTACAGGTAGTCCTCGACTTACAACCACAACTGAGCCCCAAATTTAAGCTGGTAAGTGAGAATTTGTTAAGCGAGTTTGGTCCCATTTGACGACCTTCCTGGCCACCGTTGTTAAGTAAATCACTGCACTTGATAAGTTAGTAGGCCGGTTGTTAAGCGAATCGGGCTTCCCCCTGCTGGTCAGAAGGTCGCAAAAGGGGATCACATGACCCCGGGGACACCGCAAATCGTCATAAACACAAGTCAGTTGTCAAGCATCTGGATTTTTTTTATGTGACCATGGGGGGGGGGGGGTGCTGCAATTGTCATAAGTGTGAAAAATAGTCATAAGTCATTGGGACACAGCAGTGACCCCCCAGTGAAAAGGAAATTACTTTAAAAGCAGTACAGGGTTATCAGCATTTGTTTAACTGGAAGATACTCCAGGTAGTCCTCGTTTTACAACGGTTCACTCAGTAAATGTGGAAAGTTACAACGGCACTGGAAAAAAGGGACTTATGACCATTTTTCACACTTAATGACCATTCCAGCATCCCCATGGGCACGCAGTCAAAATCCAGACGCTTGGCAACTGACTCGTATTTATGACGGTTGCAGTGTCCCTGAGTCACGTGATCCTCTTTTGCGACCATCTGACAAGCAAAATCCATGGGGAAGTCAGATTCACTTAACAACCGTGTCACTAGCTTAACACCTGCAATGATTCACTTAACAAATGGGAGAAAAGTCATAAAATGAGGCAAAACTTCCTTCATGGATTTCTCACTTAGCAACATAAATATTGGGGCTCAGTTATGGTCGTAAGTCCAGGACTAACTTATATTTTTCCCCTGGTTATTGTTCTTGCATTTTGGGCACCGTCCAAAGAGAATGCAAATACCCCAAACCTATTTTTCTGCTGTTTCAATTTTTTTTAAAAAAAACTGTATTTTGATTAAATTTGGGCAAAAGGGTTCAAACCCAAAACCTTTCTTTTATTTTAAATTCATACCAAAAATAATAATAATAATCGTAGCACCTTTGGAACACTTCCTGTGAGAATGGCACAGCTTGTTCTGAATTTGAAAATAAAGTGCAATTCTAATTTAAACTCCCTGTCCAGATAAAACCTTGTTATGGGGCCAAGGTGATCCATTTATATAAATTCCCTGAATAAATAAAAGAACATAGCAGTTTCTAGCCAAGATGGCTATTGCCCTGATGCCATTTTTTGTCTTAAAACCAAATTTGAGGTGGCAAAAATACATTTTTAAATAGGCTAAATTTAAAAATACTTTTTAAAATACTGTTTTTCCACCCCTTGATCCAGAAAGATGGTTCAGAGTTTACAGTTTGCAAGATGTCTTATCGATTCTTTAACCAAACGTATGTTTTCCCATGACCATGAACCTATTTTCTGAGCAGACTCACACAAATAAATTCATTTCTTCCTTGGGTTAAAATTGGCCATTCAAAAAATATTAAGAAAACAGACTTGAGGCTATTGTTTAAAAATAAGGTTTGGTGAAAAGCAGCCCAAAGGTCAAGAATCAGGCTAAACTTGGGTTCCCTTAGAAAATTTTTCCTGCCATAATTTCCAGATCAAAGCAAAATTTCCAGAGGTTTAGATTTCAGGTAAATGGATCTGAGGTAAGTGAAATCACTGAGAAAAACAGAGCAGGAAAAAAACAAATTGAGATTTTTCCATGACGGCAGTAAATTTCCACGAAAGCAGTAAAATTGTAAAAACTTACCCACAGGACCAAACCTGCCTCTTCCTTTGTAGCAATACCCCCTCCTCATTTACTTTTAATACAGGTAGTCCTCAACTTACGACCACAACAGAGCCCAACATTTCTGTTGCTAAGTGAAACATTAAGTGAATGTTTGCTGCTTTTTATGACATTTCTATCAACTTAATAATTTTAATTGGGGTATTTTAAATGTTTGGGGTTTTAAATCGGCCAAATCTATGTAATTATTTTAATTTTTAATTACTGTTGTGTGTTGTGTTTTTAAATTGGCTGTACACCGCCCTGAGTCCTTCGGGAGAAGGGCGGTATAGAAATAAAATTATTTATTTATTTATTTATTTATTTCTGGCCACAGTTGTTAAGTGAATTATTGCAGTTCTTAAGTTAGGAACAGGGTTGTTAATTGAACCTAGTTTCCCCATGGAAGGTCGTAAAAGGGGATCGTGTGGCCCCGAGACACTGTCATAAATATGAGTCAGTTGCCAAGCGTCTGAATTTTGATCAGGTGACCATGCCGCAATGGTCATAAGTGTGAAACGCGGTCATCAATCACCTTTTTCGGTGCTGTTATAACTCTGAATGATCACTAAACGAACGGTTGTAACCGAAAGAATACCTGTAATCTAAAATTAATCAAGGAGAGAAGAAACCTAGCACTAAGGAGAAATTTTCTGACAGCGAGAACAATTAGCCATTGGAACAGCTTGCCACCAGAAGTTGTAGGTGCTCCATCCCTGGAGGCTTTTAAGAAGAGATTAGACCAGGGGTCTCCAAACTTGCTGGCTGAGGAATTCTGGGAGTTGAAGTCCTCAAGTCTTAAAGTTGCCAAATTTGGAGACCCCTGGATTAGACAATCATTTATCTGATCAATCAGAATACAGCTGGAAGGAACCTTGGAAGTCTTCTAGTGCAGCCCCCTACTCAAGCAGGAGACCCTAGACCATTTCAGACAGGTGATCTTCCATCCAATCTCTTCTTGAAAACCTCCACCTACAATTTCTGGTGGCAAGCTGTTCCACTGTTTTCATTGATAGGAAGTTTCTCCTTAGTTCTAAATTGCTTCTCTCCTTGATTAGTTTCCATTCCTTGCTTCTGCTTCTTCGGGGGCTTTGGAGAATAGGTGGACCCCCTCCTCTTCTTTGTGGCAGCCCCTCAAATATCGGAACACTGCTATCATGTCTCCCCTAGTCCTTCTTTTCTCTAGACTAGATATATTCAATTCCTGCAACTGTTCTTCATATTTTTTAGTCTCCAGACAGGGGGTTAGACTACAAGACCTCCAAGGTCCCTTCCGGCTCTGTTATTCTGTTATTCCTAATTGATTTCAGGAGCAAATTATCTGAAACCATCGGTGCTTCAAAAAGTCTGTCATTAGGGATCCGAAACATACTACTGAAGTACAGGACGTCCTCAATTTACAACCATTCATTTAGTGTCCGTTCAAAATTACAATGGTACTGAAATCAGTCATCGATGACCGTTTTTCACACTTACGACCGTTGTAGCATCCCCACAGTCACATGATCAAAATCTTGGCAACTGACTCATACTTATGACCATCCCAGGGTCACACGATTCCCCTTTTGCGACCTTCTGATACCCAAAGTCAACAGGGAAGCCAGATTCACCTATTAGCCCATGTTACCAATTTAACAACCGCAGTGATTCACTTAACTACTATGGCAAGAAAGGTCGTAAAGTGGGACAAAACTCACTTAACAACCATCTTGCTTAGGAATGGAAATTTTGGGCTCCGTTGTAGTCATAAACCCACGACAATCTGTATTCTGCAAAAACCAACATTCCAGTGACCTGTCTAAGGAGCCCCTTTAAATAAGAGACCCCTTCTCAGCGACTCCTCTAAGTAGGAGACAGGTCTTAGGGACCCCTTTAAATAAGAGACCCGCTCTTAGAGACTCCTCTATATAAAGGGCCCCTTTTAGGAGCCCATCTAAATAAGGGATCCCCCTAAATAAGGAACCCCTCTAAGTAAGTGAGTCCTCTAAGTAAGGGACACCTCTAAATAAGAGACCTATTTAAGGAACCCCTCTAAGTAAGTGAGTCCTCTAAAGGGACCCCTCTAAATAAGGGATCCCCCTAAATAAGGAACCTCCCTAAATAAGGAACCCCTCTAAATAAGGGACCCCCCCTAAATAAGGAACCCCTCTAAGTGAGTCCTCTAAGTAAGGGACCCTCCCTAAATAAGGGATTCTCCTAAATAAGGGACCCCCTCTAAATAAGGGACCCTCCCTAAATACGGGATCCCCCTAAATAAGGAACCCCTCTAAATAAGGGACCTATTTAAGGAACCCCTCTAAGTAAGTGAGTCCTCTAAGTAAGAGACCCCTCTAAATAAGGGATCCCCCTAAATAAGGAACCCATTTAAGTAAAGGGACCCATTTAAGAGATCCCTCTAAGTAAGGGACCCCCCCTAAAGAAGGGACCCCTCTAAGTAAGATCTCTTACCCTTCTTCTGCAGCCCCGCCCCCTCGTTGGTGCCTGGGGGGGGTCCCTAAAAGTGGGGTGGAAGCCCCCAGCCGGGTCTTGGAACTGAAGACGGAAGAGAGCCGAGCTGGAGGGGACCTCCGAGGTCTTCTAGTCCAGCAACCGGGGGAGGGGAGTTCCGTGGGGGCCCTTACCTGCCAGCAGCATCGCCCGGGCCACGGCGCTCGCCATGCGCCCCGCCCCGATGAACCCCACGCGCAGCTCCCGCAGAGGCTCCATGGCTCTTCTGCCCGCTCCCGCTCCCCCCCCTCCGCCCCCCCCCCCCTTGGGCCCCGGCCCCGCCCCCGCCCCGCCCCCCCCGCCGCCGCCAAAGACAGCCAATCCCCGCCCGGCCCTCTCGGGAATCTCGCGCGCGGGGGGGAGGAGGCGCGAATCCGCCACGCCCCTTTTCGGAGCGCGGCGGCGATTGGCTGAGCCGCCCGTGACGTCACGCCGCGGGTTTTTTAAAATGCAGCCGCGGGGCTCCGCTGGGCGCTGCGGTGTGCGAGGCTCGTTTGCGGGGATCGGAGGGGCCGAAGGGTCGGTAGGTTCGGGGTGCGTCGCCTTGCTTGGGCCCGCTTTCCTTCCACTCCATCCCGGGCTCCGATGAGGGTTTTTTTTTTTTTCCTCTTTGGACCTCCCCGACTTTTGGCTCATTTTGCCAAGCCGAGCTATGCTGGTCTATGGATGGGGGACCACGAGGAGATCTACTTTTAACAGCATTTAGGGAAAAAGGGAATGGCAGTTTGCAAAGCAAAGCTTCGTGGACGGGCTTAGGGAAGTCGTCAAGAGCTGGGCTTTTTACGGAAGGAGGTTTTTCAGTTTTTCCCAAAGGTGCTTTTTCCAAGAGGCAACTGGACTTTCTGAAAACTTGAAAAAGCACCTTTGGGACAATCATGGCCTTGGAGGACTGAGAATCTCCTTTTCAGTTTTCCAGCTTGGAATGAGCAATAGACTTATTTATTTATTGTTTATTTTATTGGTTCGATTTATATGCCACCCTTCTCCGGAGACTCAGGGCGGCTTACAATGCTTTTAAGCAATAGCCTTCATACTTTTGTATATACCTGCTTAGTAGGGCTTTCGCCCTCCCCCCCAAGCGGTGTTCTTTTTTATATACAAAGTCAGCTTATTGCCCCACAATTCAGGTCCTCATTTTACCTACCTCGAAAGGATGGAAGGCTGAGTCAACCTTGAGCCTGGTGAGATTCGAACTTGCAGTAATTGCAGGCAGCTGGTGTTACTTAACAGTGCTTTAGTCTGCTGTGCCACAAAGACTTGCCCCCAAAATGAGCATAGATTTGCCCCACGAAGTTGTGGGTGCTCTAAAGCTGGAAATTTTTAAGGAGAGATTGGACCACCATTTGTCTGAAACAGTATAGGGTTTCCTGCCTGAGCAGGGGGTTGGACTAGAAGACCTCCAAGGTCCCTTCCAACTCTGTTATTCTCTTATTCTGTTTTCATATACCAGAATGGTTGCAGGAATTGACTATGTCTAAGTCTAAGAAAGAAAAGGACTAGTGTGACATGATAGCGGTAAGGGGTAAAGCTATTCTCCAAAGCATCTGAGGGCAAGACAAGAAGCAACAGATGGAAATTAATCAAGGAGAGAAGCAACCTGGAATTAAAGATAAATTTCCTGACAATGAGAATAATTAACCAGTGGAACGACTAGCCTCCAGGAGCTGTGGGTGCTCAAACACTGGAAGTTTTTAAGAAGAGACTGGACAACCATTTCTCTGGAATGGGATAGGGTCTCCTGCCTAGGGAGCAGGGGGTTGGACTAGAAGACCTCCAAGGTCCCTTCCAACTCTGTTATTCTGTTATAGAAGCTGGCTTAAGAAGCCAACACGAAATGTAAAAAGCTGAAGTATGAAAATACAACACAAATGTGGGTCTTTGGCCTTTAAAGTCCTTGCAAATGGGTGTGGAGCCTTCTTGGAATTGCTGAAAGGATTGTGTTGTGGAGTTGTGCTTTCTGCAGGATGTTCAACAGTGAAGGGACACAGGGCAGAAAAACATCCTGCAGAAAACACAGCTGTACAACACAGTCCTTTCAGCAGTTCCAAGAAGGCTCCATACTCATTTGCACTATTGGGGTGACCCTGAGGACACAGACAAACCTCCAAGTCGCCTCAAGGACTCTTTTAAAGGATGCAAATGACCAGCTGTCTGCAAGGAGTATAAATTAGTACAAGAAGGGAAGGGAAAGGAAGCGGAAGGAAGGTAGCTGATGATGTTACCTGCAAGAGCCGAGGTGGCACAGTGGTTAGAGTGCAGTACTGCAGGCTACTTCAGCTGACTGCTAGTTCAGCAGATCAAATCTCACCAGCTCAAGGTTGACTCAGCCTTCCATCCTTCCGAGGTGGGTAAAATGAGGACCCAGATTGTTGGAGGCAATATGCTATTTAGTATACTGTCTTTGGTGTAAGCCGCCCAGAGTCCTCAGAGAGTGGGCGGCATAGAAATATGAATAATAATAATAATAATAATAATAATAATAATAATAATAATAATGTAATGAAACTTATGCAGGAAAGTGCGCTCCCACAGAGAGGGCCTCCTCGGGGTGCCATCAGCCAAACAATGTAGGCTGGTGACCCCCAGGGGGAGGGCCTTCTCTGTGGGGGCACCTACCCTCTGGAATCAGTTGCCCCTGGAGATAAGGAGAATCCATGACCTCAATGCCTTCTGTCGTTCCCTAAAAACCCATCTTTTCCAGCAAGCCAGGCTGGCCTAACACTTTTTAAAATGTTTTTAATTGTTTGTTATTGGGCCAAATTTATATATATCTTTTTAATTGTATTTTAATGTTTCTAGTTTATGCTTTTACTTGGCTGTTCACCGCCCTGAGTCCTCAGGGAGAAGGGTGGTATACAAATTTAAAAATAAATAAATAAATAAATAAAATAACCAAGCTCAGAGAGCATCAAGGACCTCACTCTCCTCCTCCTCCTCGCAAACCCCCCTCTCTTCTAGCACTGTTGCGGTTCCCCAGACAGGTAATGAAAGGTCTGCAAGAAAACCACCAAACTCAGAGAGCACTGATGAGCCCACCCTTCAATCCTGAGCTTACAAATATTCTCTTTTACAGGTACAAACGGCTTTTTTGTTTTTACTGCAGGCATTGTCGGAAGATGCTGCCCTTTCACAGCTGGGCCCTCCTTTTCTCTCTCCCCCTGCTTCTGGTCGTTGGCCCCTCCTCTGGGTTTTTTGGCTGGCTCACCCAAAAGGCCTCCCCCACTCCTGTTCCCCATCCAGAGGTAGCAGCTGCTGCTCCAGATCCAGCCGGCCTTGCAAAAGTGCCCTTTGAGATGGATACGGCTGATGAGAGGTTCCTCGCTGAAGTTCAGGCGGTGGATATGTCCCTTCTGGATTCCTGCCATCACAAGGTCTCTGGCGCTTTGTAGGCTGTGTGTGTGTGTGTGTGTGTGTGTGTGTGTGTGTGTGTGTGTGTGTGTACAGGCAGTCCTCGACTTACAACCGTTTGTTTAGTGCAGGGGTGAAATCTAAAAATTTTCCCTACCGGTTCTGTGGGCGTGGCTTGATTGGTGGGCGTGGCTTGATAGTCAGGTGACTGGGTGGGCGTGGCCAATAATAATAAATAATAAAAATAATAAATAAAGTAACACACAACAATAAGAGGTACCAACAACCAACTTTCACACTTTACACACACACAACACAACACAACACAACTGACTCACACACAATGTAAAAGCAGCTGCACTTCAACCAAAATGGCCCCTGCAACAAGCGGGAACCTCACACAGCCACAAAAAGCTCAAAAACCAACTTTCACATTTTTTCCACACGAAATGCCACATACAGCTTTGTGAGATTTTGTGTGTTGGTGTAGTTAGAGTGAAACACTACAGAAACACACCAAATCTCAGAAAGTGGCACAAAGATTTTATTTTATTATTTTATTTTATTTATATTTTTAGATAAAAGCAGCTAAATTTAAAACTTCTTTAACTTTAAATTGCTATGTCTAAAAAAAAAAACTCCTAAAAAAAAGACCCCAGTTACTTACCAAATTGAAGGCACAAGGCAGGCAGATTGAGTTGCTCATCGATTGGATTGATTGCAGGCAGGCAGATTAAGTTGCTAGCTGATGCAATGGATTGCAGCAGCCGAAGCAAGGCAGGAAAAGCGAGCGAGCCCGAAAGCAGCAGCAAGTGGACAAGTGGGGACCGGGTGATTGGGTGGGCATGGACGGGCGGGGGGGGGCAGGGATTTTTGCTACTGGTTCTCCAAACTACCCATCGCCATCGCTAACGGATCGGCTGGTCCGGCCTGAACCGGGAGCATTTCACCCCTGGTTTAGTAGTTGATATTACAACGGCACTGAAAAAACAATCATTTGTCTGAAATGGTATAGGGTCTCTTCCTAGAAGACTTCCAGGGTCTCTTCCAACTCTGTTTATTGTGTTCTATTCTACCGTAATTTCATTCTCTTCTAATTCTCTTCTAACATTATTCTATTTCTAATTCTATTTCTACTCTATTTCTAACTCTATTCTATTCCTGTTCTATTCTAATTCTGTTCTTCTAATCTGTTCAATTCTAGTTCTAATCCCAATCCTAATTCCAGTGGTGGGTTTCTACCAGTGGTGAAATGTAAAATTTGTTACTACTGGTTCTGTGGGCGTGGCTTGGAGGGGGGGTAATGTGACTAGGTGGGCGTGGCCAACTAGTTTTGTTTTCTTTTTTAACTTTTAAAAGCATTTTTTCTATAACCTTCAATCGAAGAGGTTGCAGAAAAAAATACTTCGAAAAGCCTCTGACGATCCCAGCTGAGCCACGCGATCATTAGAGGCTTTTTTTTTACTTTTAAAAGCATTTTTTCGGCCAAAGAGGTCATGACTATCGGATCGGGCGATACGGTCCGAACCGGGAGCATTTCACCCCTGGTTTCTACCAGTTCGCCCCAGTTCGGGCGAACCGGTGGGGGCGGTGGGAGGCTCCGCCCACCCTCCCGGATGTCATCACGGACGCTCTGCGCATGCACAGAAGGTTTCGTTCATGCGCAGAAGGTCCACGCATGCGCGCTCCCGGTTCCGAACCGCTAGCGAAGGTAAGAGGAACCCACTACTGCCTAATTCTACTCTCCTATTCCTATTCCGTCCTGTTCTGTTCCATTCCATTCTAAAAATGACTTACGACTGGTTCTCCCTCTTACGATGTCATCCCTATGAACACGGGATCAAAATTCAGACGCTTGGCAAATGACTCGTATTTATGACGGGTCGCAGTGTCCCTGGGTCATGTGATCCCCTTTTGCGACCGTCTGACAGGCCGAGTCAGAATGGGGGAGGCCAGATTCCGTGTGACTAACCTAACCACTGCAGTGATTCGCTGAACGACCGTGGCAAGGAAGGTCGTAAAAGGAGGCAAGACTCATTGAAGAAACGTCTTCCTTAGCAATGGAAATGTTGCACTCAATAGCGGTCGTAATTCGAGGACTACCAGTCCCATTCCTCTTTTGCAGTCGTTCCCCCCATCCTATTGGCCAATGCACCCGTGAATTGATGGTGGTGGTGGGGGGGGGCTTTTTCTTGTCCTTTCCTGATCCAGGTTATTTCACAACTACGCTCGACTTGCACCGACCTCATGGAAGAGGAACTGGCCAAGCTGGGAGTGGCACTCTTCAACTGCCAGGCCAGTGCCGAAGGTCGGAGGACTTACCTGTGCACTGAGGACATGGTACGTAGGCACACCTGGGCACCTTCAGACAATGCTTCAGGCACCTTGGCCAAGGACCGGTTCCACCTCAGGTTGAAATTCTTGTTTTAATTCCCATGACAAAGACTTCGAGCCATAGAGTTACAGTGATCTGAATGCAGTACTGCAGGCTAATTCTGCCGATTGTCAGCAGTTCGATCCTGACCGGCTCAAGGTCGACTCGGCCTTCCATCCTTCCAAGGTCCGTTAAATGGAGTTAGCAGAGATGGTTAAATTGACTGCTTTAATCAAAGGGAAAAAAAATACTTTTATTTTTACCTGGAAACCGCTTTACCTGGACTTTGTGCTTGAGGTGGGAAAAAAAATGAAACTTTTGACTTTGTTTTTTACCGATTATTAGATAGACTTGTTGTTATAAAAATGGCTGCTTGTTGTTATAAAAATAGCCGCCCTGAGTCTTCGGAGAGGGGCGGCATATAAATCAAATATTAAATTAAATAATTAAATTAAATTAAATTAAATTAAATTAAATTAAATTAAATTAAATTAAATTAAATTAAATTAAATTACTTTAAACTATTACGTAATTTTTAAATTTTAAATTTGGTTTTAAATTATTGGGGTTTTAAATTTGTTCAGCCAAATTGTTTACTTCGTTTTAGTTTATTTTAAATTTTGTATCTATATGTTTTATTCTATGGCTGTTCACCGCCCTGAGTCCTTCGGGAGTAGGGCGGTATACAAATTCAATAAAATAAATTAATAAAATAAATAAATAAAAGTAAAAAGTTGAGATTTGATGTCAATGCCTTATTCTACTGCACTGAAGGTCGGAAGTCAGTGCCTTTTTTTTTTCTTTTTCCCTTTTTTTTATTGTTTTATTCATAAATATTTTTGAATCCGGTGCATTTGTCAGGGTATACAATTTACAAGAGAAAGAGAGAGAGAAAAAAAGGTCAAATAGAAAATAGTAATAAATATTAACACATGAACTAATAATAGTAATAATAATATAATAACATGTGTACTGAAAATAATGGCAATAATATAACCGAAAAGTTTTAAATAAGTTTCTTTTTATATTGGCTTATTTACATTTTTGTTAATTATGATGATTGTAGTTATAAATCTTATCTATTATTCATACAAATATTCGTAATCTTTCTTCCTCTAATTCCTACCTCTTGTCTCTAACCATTCATAAAATCTATTCTGATAGTATTCTGTGTCTTCTTTATCTTTTATTTTTAAAGTTAGCCTATCCATTTCAGCACAGTCCAAAATTTTTCAAATTACTTCATCTTTTTTTCCGTACTCTTCCCTATTTTTCCTGCTATTTGCTTTTCTATTTTCTTTGTATGCTACAACATAAACTAATAAAAATTTTTTTTGTTAAAATACCTTCCCCCCCAATGCTGGATTCTCAAATGCATCTCTTCCCTCCGTTCCTTTCCTTGCAAAAGGCTCTGGCGGAATGCACAGCCAGAATGGATCCGGATACTTGGAACGCTTATCACATCGTCAGCAACCGAGCGCGGGCCGTCTGCTACGCCACCCGCCAGATGCAGTTCAAGCGTCGAGCGGAGCATACGGTGAACGCCCTGGTCTCTACCGCGGTCGGCCAGCTGGAGGCGATGAAAACGCTCAAGGTTCGAACTGTTGTTTTCCTCAGTTTTGGTCTGGAGATTGGGGGGGTGTATCTGTGTGCGCGTGCTGGGATGAATGAGGGAAAACAGCTGCAGGTGCTTTTATTTCAACAGGCAACTGGACTTTCTGGTTTTCCTTTGAAGATGTTTTGCTTCTCACCCAAAAAGCTTCTTCAGCTCTGACTGGATGGTGGGGAGTGGAAGGATTTACACTCTTTGCAGACAGCTGGTCATTTGCATTCTTTTAGCGAGTTGTTAAGGTCACCTGGAGGATTATCCAGACGTGGGATTCAGCCGGTTCGGGAAAATCGGATGCTAATTTTACATCCGATTTGCCGAACCGATAATTGCGAAGACTGGCTGGCCCAACCCCTTGCCCCTCCCAAGAGTCTCCACATGGCCCATTTTGGATGCCAGGTAAGGGCAGCGCCCATGCAGAGGTTCCGGGAGAGAGAGAAACGGGCCTCCCGGAAGTCCGAAAATGTGGGAGGCCGTTTTCGTCCTCCTGGAGGCTTGAGGAAAGCTTCCGGAGCTTGGGAAGAGTGAAAATGCCCCCCCCACGCCGATCGTGGTGCAGGAGGCCAAGTACCCACACCCACCATGGCCATGCCCACCCAGCAACCAGACAGATAACCGGTTGCTAACATTTTTTAATCCCACCCCTGGGATTATCTGAGTCACCTGTGTGGTGCAAATGGGTTGCCGAGCCTTCTTGGAACTGCTGAAAGGACTGTGTTGTTGACCAGAGATAGGTGATGTCATATCCCTTCCCCTCTGTTGAGAGAGGGGTGCTCAATTTGGACATAGATGGCCTCTTGGAGCCCTCTTTCAAACCAGGTTCCCCTCTGTTCAAAATATGGACTTTGCTGTCTTCAAAAGAGCGGCCTCTGTCTTTGAAATGCAGATGAACTGCTGAATCTAGTCCTGATGTGTTTGTTCTGCTATGTTGTCCCTAAACGACCTGTCGTAAGTAGAGGACTACCTGGTTTTTACAAACGCACCATAGGAATGCTGAACAAAATGCTGAATAAAATTAAATTATGTTGTCAGGTTTCGAGGTCGTCTCAAATAAATTGCATTTCAAGCAAAGTCTTTGAAGGAAAACTCCTATTTATTAAGCACGACATTCTAAAATCCGACTCCATCGAAGCCAACACTGACTTCCAGACCCAAAACCCTCCCTTTCCGTTCCCCACTCCCCTGCACTCATTGGCCATTTTCCAAGTCGTTCTATCCCTAATCTACTGCTCTAGCTCAAAGGAATTTCCCCCTTCCCATCCCATCTCCTAGGGGATATTATCTCCAGGGAAAATAAGTAGGTGAAAAGTCAAACGTCCCTTTCCAGACGCCTCCGCTTCTCCTTCTTATATCAGCACTAGAGTAAATGCAGTTTGAAGTGCTGACATATGTATTACGAGAAGGGAGCCGGAAAAGTGAAGCTCCTTCTCTCGTGAGCTTTATTTTTCCAGCATTTTTTTTTCCCTCCCGTGACAGAGGAGCCAGGAGGAGCTGAAGCTGCTCACTTCGGAGTCCCTACAACGCGTAGTTAGCGCTCAGGAGGAGCTGCTCGTCCGGCAAGAGACGCTTCGCGGCGGCCAGGCGCAGATGGAAGAATCTCTCTCTAGCAACCTGGAGCACCTGGTGCAGGAGAAGGCCCTGATCGCCAGTGGGCAGCAACAGGTGGCCGAGCTGCTGGAGGGCATCACCCGCAGGATGGGTGAGAGAGCGAGCAGCGAGGATTCTCCGGGGCACCTCCAACCTTCCTCCGGGTAGTCCTCGACTTACAACCACGATTCGGTGTTGGAACGTCCATTCACTAAGCCAGGGGTGTCAAACTCGATTTCATTGAGGGCCGCGTCAGGGTTGTGTTTGACTTGGGGGGGGGCAGGGGGTGTGGCCAGCTTGACGTCATCTCTGTCGGGGGGTCCTGTGTTGGCCCGAGCGCTCTGCCAGAAAAAAACGGGCTCCCGAGCTCTGCTTTTGGCTGCGACAGCTTCCGGCAACCCTCTGCCAGCAAAATGGAGTTTGGGAGAGCCAGACTCCGTTTTCGGCTGCAACGGCCTCCCACGTGCGGCCCTCCCAAGCTCCGTTTTCACTGGCGGAGCACTTGAGCCAGCCCAGGCACCCACTGTGTCATTTGTGTCGGGGGTGCCTGTGGTGGCACGAGCGCTCCACCAGTGAAAACGGAGGTCAGGAAGGCTGCGTGGGACCCTCCCGAGCTCCGTTTTCAGCTGCAACGGCCTCCTGCAACCCTCTGCCAGCGAAAACGGAGCTCAGGAGGCCCGTGAAACTCCGTTTTCGCTGGTAGAGGTACCACGGGCCAGTCCTTGGCTGTTTCCAGGGTAGCCCCACGGGCCAGATCTAAGCACCCTGATTTTCACAGCCCTGCGCCAAGCGGAGCGGTCGTTTAGTGAGCCGTGCCCGATCTCATGACCTTTTTGCTGCGGTTAAGCGAATCACCTAGTCATGAAGGAAATCCCGCTGGCCAACAGCCGCCTGAGAAGGTTGCAAACGGCAATCCCGCCGCCCTGGAAGATAGCAAGCGTTGCGAAATATATTGGTAAAATTCGACGGCGGTTGGCAAGAGAGCGAATTTTGATCGTAGGGGTCGCAAAGAGGCCGTATGCCTGAGGGCGCAGTCGTCAGTCGCTTTTGCAGCACCTGTGGTCACTTTGAAAGGACGTTAAATGATGGCCGTAAACTGAGGCTGTAATCTCCTTCCATCCCAGTGGTCTCTAGACTTCTAAGGACTTAGAATAGTGTTTCTCAACCTTGGAAGCTTGAAGATGGGTGGACTTCAACTCCCAGAATCCCCCAGCCAGCGCTGGGTTGAGGTTGAGAAACACTGACCTAGAATGACATAAGAGTCTGAAATTCAGGGCTGTTTGTCTCTGAGTTTGCTTGTTTTCTTACAGACATTTCATGACCCAATTAGGTAACATCATCAGTGCTTGAAGAGGGGGGTGTTTGCAAGGAGGAGGAAGAGGGCTTGTAGCTCAGGGTAGAAATGAAGGGTCCTTGGTGCCCTCTGAGCTTGGTTGTTTTCTTGCAGACATTTCATGACCCAACTAGATAGCATCATCAGTGCTGGAAGCAAGTGGGGTTTGCGGAAAGGAGGAGAAGGGAAGCAGGAGGATTGTGGGGTCCTTGTTACCCTCTGGGCTTGGTTGTTGTTGTGACCCCGACTCCCGAGCCTGTCCTAACAGAGGAAGAGGACTCAGAAGGTGATGGGGAGGAACTGACAAGGCCTCCCTCTCCAGGACCCTCCTCTCAGGCAATGCCTCAGGTTCCATCCGAAGGCCAGGAGGAACAGCCTGGGATGGGCCAGGAGGAAAGCATATCGGAGCACCCATTGATAGGGAGCGAGGAGGATGAATCCTGGCTTGATCCCAGGCAGCGTCGGAGGGAGAAGCGTGCGCAGCAACGGAAGAGGCGTGGGAGGGCCAGAGATTGAGCTGAGTCACGGAGCCACGCCCCACCAGGAATAAAAGTGGGTGGGATTGCTCTTCAGGCTTTGTGACGGACAAAGTGAAACCCTGAAAGTCGCATTGTGATCTCTGAAATTCGGCTTGGAAATATTTTGGACTGAACATTGACTAAACTCTTTGTCTCGTGGATAATTTGTTGCTCCTGGAATGGACTGAAGATAAGTCCTCTTCTGCTTTATGGGAGTGAAACCGGTCTTGGCAGGCATTCGGCAGTTTGCTGCCAAAACCTTGGTCTGCCAGGAATTCTAATCTGTTTACCTAATAAAATATTGGCAGGCATGCTTGGTATTATGCTTGCCTGTGTGAGGAAGGGGGACAGAACAGTTGTTTTCTTGCAGACCTTTCATGACGCAACTAGGAAACATCATCAGTGTTAGAAGGGACAGGGGTTTGGGGAGAGCAGCAGGAGGAGGAGGAGGACTCTAGGATCCTTGGTGCTTTCTGAGCTTGGTTGTTTTCTTGGCAATTTGCACTTTCTAGCACTGATGATGTTACCTAGTTGGGTCATGAAAGGTCTGTAAGAAAACAACCAAGCTCAGGGAGCATCAAGGACCCTACAGTCGTCCTCCTCTTCCTCCCTCCTCTTCCCCCTTTTCCTCCACTCCACAAATCCCACTTCCTACTAGCACTGATGATGTTATGTAGTTGGGTCATGAAACGTCTGCAAAAAAAACAACCAACCTCAGAGATGCACCTCCATAGTCTTCCTCCTCCTCCTCTCCGAAACCCCCCTCCCTCCTAGCACTAATGTTAGCTTGCCTAGTAAGGAAACATCTGCAAAACAACCAAACTCATGAATGCCTCATTTGAACCCTGTGCTACCAATATTTTTCTATCAGAAACACTGGAATTGAAATCCAGGGAAGTAAAGTTGTTTTGTAGGCTGAAAGGTGACCCAGGGAATAAGTTAGTTGTGTTCAAATACCGGTTGAAGAAGCTTTTCATAGTCGTCATGATGACCCAAGAGTAATGACTCTCAACTTATCTTAGGCTACTGGACCTTGTGTGCTGGGGTGAAATGTAAAATTTGTTACTGCCGGTTCTGTGGGCGTGGCTTGGTGGTGGTGGGGTAATGTGACTGGGTGGGCGTGGCCAACTTTTATTTTTATTTTTTAATTTTCAAAGCATTTTTTCTAATGCTTTGAAAAGCCTCTGCCAATCAGGCAACTCAGCTGGGATTGTCAGAGACTTTTCAAAGCATTTTTTTTACCACCTCTTCAGCAAAGAGGTTGCAGAAAAAAATGCTTTGAAAAGCCTCTGACGATCCCAGCTGAGCCGCGTGATCATCAGAGGCTTTTTTTTTTTTTTTTTTTAAAAGCATTTTTTTCATCAGAAGAGGTTGTAGAAAAAATGCTTTCGAAAGTAAAAAAAAAAAAAGCCTCTGATGATCGTTCGGCTCAGCTGGGCATGGTGGGGAGGGGCGCAGGGATTTTTTTTGCTACCGGTTCTCTGAACCACCAGCCGCCATCGCTACCGGATCGGGCGATCCGGTCCGAACCGGGAGCATTTCACCCCTGCTTGTGTGTCCTTTAACCAAAATGTGACCTGTGGCCACCGACTGTTGGAACAACGCTGCCTCTGTTTCCCTTCTCGCAGAAAATGTCAGCAGTCATCTGAACCAGCAGGATGTGGAGCTTCAAGAAGGACACCAGTCCATCCTGAGGGACTTGGGTCAGGTCCAAAAACGGGCTCAAGAAGTCTACTCCAAAATAGGTTTGTGGTGGGAGCAGTTCATGCGCCATTCCTCTCAAGCTTAGCAGTGATGATGTTACTTAGTTTGGCAATGAAACGTCTGCAAGAAAACCACCAAGCTCAGAGAATATTAAGGCTCTACAGCTCTTCTCTTTCTCCTCCTCCTTCTCCTCCTCCTCCTCCTCCTTCTCCTCCTCCTCCAACCTCTCTCCCTTCTAGCCCTGATGATGTTTGGTTGGGTAATGAAATATCTGCAGGAAAATAGCCAAGCTCGGAGAACACCAAGTACCCCATACTTCTCTCCTCCTCCTCCTCCTCCTCCTTCCTCCACTCCACAAACCCTCCTCCCTTCTACCACTGATGATGTTACCTAGGTTGGTCAACAAACAACTCCAAGAAAACAATCAAGGTTAGAGAATACCAAGGACCCCATATTGCCTTCTCCTCCTTCTCCTCTTCCTCTTCTCTGCCAATCCTCCTCCCTTCCAGTTCTGAAGATGTTACCTAGTTGGGTAATGAAACATCTGCAAAAATACCCTCACCAAGCTCAGAGAGCACCAAGGACCCCGCAGTCCTCTCATTCCTACACAGGGTGAGGCAGGGATGGAAGTCTACCATGCTTAGAAGAACTCAGAAGGTTGGAGAAGACTCAGTTGAGTTGAGGCCCACTTGCCTTTCCACCGGGCCTGAGATCTTATTTTTTTTTCTTCCAGATACCAATGTGGACTTGTTCCTGGCCTATCAGAAGCAAACTACCTTGTACCATGATGAGTTACTGGGGAAACTGAGGAAGATGAACGAGACTTTTGGGCTGGTCCTTCAAACCATGGAGCAGATGCAGACCAAGGTGGAAGGGCGATTGCAGCACATCCAGAGATTCATAACCTGGGCAGGTAAGGCGACCTCTGAGCAACAGGCCTGCAGCCAATTGAAAAGGGGCACGGAAACCACAGGATACATCATAAAAGACAAGATGGCAGCTGCCACGGCACAATCGAAGCTCCGCCTGGGTTTATGTGTGTGTCAGACTTCGATGCTATCTCAAAATAAATGAATTTCCAAACTGCCAATCTTTAAGGAAATCTTTAATTGAGCACAGCAACCGGATCATGACTCGATGTGGACAAGACTGACCTTTTGCCCCCCAAACCCTCCCTTTCCGATCCCCAAATCTCTGCTTTTCATTGGCTATCTTCCAAGTCATTCTCCAGACTTCTTGTCTCATCACTTCCCAGGAATGTCTCCCCCCTCCTCATTTCCACGACAACCCGGCTTCAAAGGGATTTAGCAGGCAAAAGTTCAGAGTTTATCTCTCTCCTCTCTATGCCAGCGCTGAGGCGCTGACATCCGGCCCCTCTCCCTTCACTCTCCCAGCGGGGCCAGCGCTGCCTCAGCGCTGGCAGTGTGTTTATGTGGGACAACATCCCTGAAAGGAAAGTTATTTTTCTGATATACCTACATCATTTCCCCACCCCCACCCCGCCGTAACCTTGGCAACTTGAAGGTGTTTGGATTTTAACTCCCAGAATTCCCCAGCTTGCATAACTGGCTGTGGAATTCTGGGAGTTGAAGTCCACACAACTTGAAGTTGCCAAGGTGGGAAATTACTGATCTACAAGTTATCCGGTGTTGCTGAAAATTCGCTTTCGATTCAAAAACAAAAGGGTTGAAGTAATAAGGGAAGCTAGAGCCCCAAATAGTTTACTATCCAACTTTTTTCAAATATTTTCAAAGGGAGAAGCAGCAAACGTATTTCAAAATTTGATGGAGGGATACATCTTCACCCAACCAGCTTTCCAGTTTTTAAGGTTCCATGAAAAAGAATCTCCATTTACAATGCAGAGAGACACACAAGCCATTTGTAGCTAGCACTACACTAACTAGCTACACAGCTAGACTACACACGGCTACCCTAGTATAGTGTAAACTACCCTAGGTATACTACAAGCACTAGCACTGATGACGTTAGCTAGTTTGGAAATGTCTACAAGAAAACCCTACCGCCTTTCAGCACTGATGCTGTTATCTAGTTGGGTAATGAAACGTCTGCAAGAAAACAACCAAGCTCAAAGAGAACCAGGGACACCACAGTCCACCTCCTCCTGCTCCTCCCCCTTTCCTTCCCCCCCCTTTCCTCCTCCCCTTCCTCCTCCTCCTTTTGCAAACCCTACCCTCTTCGAACACTGATGCTATTATCTAGTTGGGTAATGAAATGTCTGCAGAAAAACAACCAAGCTCAATGAGAATCAGAGACTCCACAGTCATCGTCCTCCTGCTCCTCCCCCTTTCCTCCTCTTCTCCCTTTCCTCCTCCTCCTCCTTGCAAACCCTACCTTCTTAGAGCACTGATGATGTTACCTAGTTGAAACGTTGAAACGTTTGCCAGCAAACACCAAGAACAAAGAGGCTTTGCAGATGGGAAAATATTATTTAAGACCTTCTTAATCCTGCTGGCTTAGTTTACTGATCTCCCCAAGTTATGTTTTGTAAGGCAAACCCCACACGGCAACCCGATGAAAAAAATGTTGCGTCTCCCGTGTCTTGCAGGGTTCAGCTTGAGCTCCATCTACACCTGTCTCCTGCACCTGGTCTACTTCCTCCTGGCTGCGCTCGTCATGACTTTCCTGCAGGTCCCCGGGGCATCCCGCGCCTTGCTCCTCGTCTTGGTTGTGGCAAACGCCCTCTCTGAGCTCCACCACACCGTCTCCCTGGGGTTCAAGTCTCTCACCAGCCTCTTGGTGTTGTCTGTGGCAGGCAAGTTGGCGGGTTTCGAGACAGAGTTTCTTTAGTTTCAGCCTAACTGATGACGTGAACATTTACCTCACGCACCAGGGTTTTTCTGCAACCTGTGAGTTCAGCCCTAAATAAATCCCATTTTATGTGTCAGGACTTAAACCAGAGGTCTCAAAACGTGGCCCCTTTAAGACTTGTGGACTTCAACTCCCAGAATTCCTCAGGCAGCCAAACTTGGCCACTTTAAGGCTTGTGGACTTCAACTCCCAGAATTCCCCAGATGGCCAAACTTGGCCACTTTAAGGCTTGTGGACTTCAACTCCCAGAATTCCCCAGATGGCCAAACTTGGCTACTTTTAAGACTTGTGGACTTCAACTCCCAGAATTCCCCAGATGGCCAAACTTGGCCACTTTTAAGACTGGTGGACTTCAACTCCCAGAATTCCTCAGGCAGCCAAACTTGGCTAATTTAAGGCTTGTGGACTTCAACTCCCAGAATTCCTCAGGCAGCCAAACTTGGCTAATTTAAGGCTTGTGGACTTCAACTCCCAGAATTCCCCAGATGGCCAAACTTGGCCACTTTTAAGACTGGTGGACTTCAACTCCCAGAATTCCTCAGGCAGCCAAACTTGGCTAATTAAGGCTTGTGGACTTCAACTCCCAGAATTCCTCAGGCAGCCAAACTTGGCTAATTTAAGGCTTGTGGACTTCAACTCCCAGAATTCTCCAGATGGCCAAACTTGGCCAATTTAAGGCTTGTGGACTTCAACTCCCAGAATTCCCCAGATGGCCAGACTTGGCCACTTTTAAGACTGGTGGACTTCAACTCCCAGAATTCCCCAGATGGCCAAACTTGGCCACTTTAAGACTGGTGGACTTCTACTCCCAGAATTCCCCAGACAGCCATGCTGGCTGGGGAATTCTGGGAGTTGGAAGATCACAAAGGCTTAAAGTGGCCAAGTGTGGAAACCCTGCCATAAATTAGGCATTAAAGTTTCTTGGTCACGTGACCAATCTGATTTTATGATGGTTTTTTTTTTTTTTTGGTGGCAGTTGTGAAGCGAACAGGGCAGTCGTAAGTGAAAACACCGCGGTTATGAAGTGAACGCCGCGGTCCTTAAGCAAACGCTGCCGTCGTTCTGCAAATTCGACAGTCATTAAGCGAACCCGTCGTTTGTCATGGCATAGTTTTGCCGAAAACTGGACAAATTCCTTGTGTGTCCGACCAACCTTGGCCAAACCAATGAAGTTTCAAGTATAGGTGTAGATAAAAATATAAAAATAGCAAGTGAGATTGTAACTCACTGTTCTAAAAACAGAAAGAGCCTGGTGGCGCAGCAGACTAATAGCCTGTTATTATCATTCAGCTGCCTGCAATTACTGCTAGTTCGAATCTCACCAGGCTCAAGGTTGACTCAGCCTTCCATCCTTTCTAAAGTAGGTGAAATGAGGACCCAGATTGTGGGGGCAATAAGCTGACTTTGTATAAATATACAAAAGGATGAAGCCTATTGCTTAACGCATTCTAAGCCACCCTGAGTCTCCGGAGAAGGGCGGCATATAAATCAAATTAAAAAAAAAAAAAAAAGATACATTGCACTTGGCTAAGGAGGCTTTTCCAAACCTTTGCAGAAGGCTCTCTTTTTCTGGCTAAACCGTAGCTCACATTTTTCAAATTCTGAAAAGGGGGGGCACATTTCTGCTATAGGAAATGTACACTACAGTACACAACCATCACAATGTTTCCCAATTCTCAGCCAGGAAAACTAAAGACCATGGAAATATCTGTGGGGATCACCCTGGGACCAGGATTAATCGTTGGCTTGTTGAAAGCAATCCACTTTATTCTCCAGATGTGTATTTTTTTTTTCCTTTCAGTCAAATTCTAAATTGCAACTTCTACAGTTTTTTGCCAGGCTTTTGGGCTGCAGCTGAGAGTTTGGCAGGGGGGGGGCATAGATGCCCTGGTTACGTCTTCCAGAGACCCCGGACGGGTGGGAAATTGATCTGATGTTTTCAAAGCCTCCATGCTGGGTTTTCATCCATGGTTGAGTATTGGATTGCAGAAAGAGTTTAGTTTAAGAAGGCTAATAAATCAGCGTTAGATTTCTTTAGCTATCTACAGAGACACACATGATTTTTTTAATGTGGCTTTTATTATTTTTATCAGTAATTCAAGGTTGTAAACATACTTAATACTCCTTCTTCCTATTTTACCCACAACAACAACAGCCCTGTGAAGTAGGCTGGGTTTAGAACAGTGTTTCTCAACCTTGGAAGCTTGAAGATGGGTGGACTTCAACTCCCAGAATCCCCCAGCCAGCGCTGCTGGCTGGGGGATTCTGGGAGTTGAAGTCCACCCATCTTCAAGCTTCCAAGGTTGAGAAACACTGGTTTAGAAAGACAGATCCAAAGTCACCCAGTTGGATTTCATGGCTAAGGCGGGACTAGAAATTCACAGTCACCTGGTGAATGGCCCAAGGTCACCCAGCCTCCGTTCGTGCCTAAGGCGGGACTAGAATTCACTGTCTTTGGTGATTGGCCCAAAGTCACCCAGTTGGCTTTTGCACCTAAGGCAAGACTAGAACTCACTGTCTCCTGGTGATAGGACCAAAGTCCAAAGCAGGTTTAGAACCAAAAACTAGAAGATTTAAAAGCGAATTCCAGGTGGGCTAGAAATACAAGGAACAACATTTTTCATTTCCTCCTCCCTTGCAGTCAACATACTCCTAGGAAGAATCTGTGGCCATGCTCTGAAACACAGGAAATGGAGACCCCTCCGGGCACCTTTGCCCCTTCCCCACAAGGCTCCAGAGACCCCTGCTTGGAAAGTGGGACTTAAGCCAGCCAAACGCTGCCGGGTTACCTCCACTCCCGATAGGTAGGAAAACGGGAAGCGAGAATGCACTGACTGTAATTTTTGTAAACTTCTAACGTTTGTTTTTGAATTGCATGCTCCTGGCCTGCATAGGTCAGTCTTAGCATTGACACGGAAATAATTCTATGGCCTTGTGGTTTTGACCATCCGGTCGTCTCCGCCTCTTGGAGATTTTACAGGCAAGGGCTCTCCAGTCTGCCCTTTCTTTCAGTTGTTGGGTGTTCATTAGAGTCCTTGAATATGAGATGGGTGGCAACTGGCACTGGCTCCCAGTGGCCTTCCGGGTGCGCTTCAAGGTGTTGGTTATCACCTTTAAAGCGCTCCATGGCATAGGACCTAGTTATCTTCGAGACCGCCTTCTGCCACCGACAACCTCCCACCGACCCGTACGCTCTCACAGAGGGGGCCTCCTCAATGCAGGCTGGTGACCCCCAGGGGGAGGGCCTTCTCTGTGGGGGCACCTACCCTCTGGAATCAATTGCCTCCAGAGATAAGGAGAATCCAAGACATCCGTGCCTTCCGCCGTGCCCTTAAAGCTTTCCTTTTCCAACAAGCGGGCTGGCCTAACAAACCCTTTTAAATGATTTTAAATTTGTTTGTCTTTTTAAATTTTGGGCCAAATTGAGATATTTCCTTTTAATCTGTTCTTAATCTATGTATTATGTATTTATGTGTTTTACTTGGCTATACACCGCCCTGAGTCCCTAGGGAGAAGGGCGGTATATAAATCTAAAGTAAAATTAAAAAATAAAAACTAAATTTGATAGATAGATGGATAGATAGATAGATAGATAGATAGATAGATAGATAGATAGATAGATAGATTTTATTATTTATTTTATTTATTTTATTGAATTTCTATACTGCCCTTCTCCCAAAGGACTCAGGGCGGTGTGCAGCCAAAAATAAAACCATGACAATATAAAAATTAAAAGCAATTTAAAACAATTAAATAAATTGGCCAAAAAACTCTAATAAAACAACCCATTTTAAATAGTAAAATCTTGTTATTATTTAGGGCAGCCCTGCTTGTTGGAATATTAATGTTTTTAGGGTGCGACGAAAGGTACGAAGGTCGTGAATCCTACAAATCTCCGGGGGCAGCTCATTCTGATAGATAGATAGATAGATAGATAGATAGATAGATAGATAGATAGATAGAGATTGATAGAGTGATAGATATAGCTATAGTGATAAATATAGTGATAGTGATAGAGTGATAGTGATAGAGTGATAGCCATGGTTATATAGATAGTGATAGTGATAGTTGTAGATAGAGTGATAGTGATACAGAGATAGTGATAGAGTGATAGTGAGAGATAGATAGATAGTGATAGAGTGATAGCCATAGAGTTATAGAGTGATAGATAGATTGATAGAGTGATAGTGATAGGGATAGATAGATAAGATTGATAAATGAGATGGATAGATGATACAGATGAGATGGATGAATGATGATTCATAGATGGATGGATGAATGGATAGTGATAGAGACAGAGACAGGATAAATAAATGATTCATAGATGATATAAATAGAGATAATAGATAGATAGATAGAGATGGATGATAGATAGATGATAGATAGATAGATAGATAGATAGATAGATAGATAGATAGATAGATGATAGATAGATAGATAGATAGATAGATAGATAGATAGATAGATAGATAGATAGATGATAGATAGATAGATTCAGTTCTTAGATGAGAAGGAAAACACCTTTCCTTCTCATCTAAGAAGCCCTGATGCCTTTTGAAAAAGCACTTAGTCTGCAGGGCTTACAAAAAGAGTGATTCTTTTCCAAGCTGCTTCCAAAAATCCTGGAAGTGCAGCTGCCGAAACCTGTCCTAAAATGGGTCTTGGTTCCTCTTTGCAGAGAAGATGAGGTGGGCCTCCTGGATGAGCTGGAGAAGCTGGAAGAGGTGAGCTACCTGTCAGGTGAGCAAGACCGCTGGGATAGAGGTGGGGACGGGGGCTTTAGGGTTGGGGAGGCTGAGAGGTGCTCCCGACCTTGAGACAGCGGCTTGGGAGAGTTATGATCAGCAAATTAGCCACAAAGGTTTGACGTGCAAAGTGGCATTTTAATGATTCGTGGAGAACTGCTGTACTTTCATAGAGCTGTGGTGGCGCAGTGGTTAGAATGCAGTATTGCAGGCTGAGACTGCCCACTGTCAGCAGTTCGATTCTAACGGGCTCAATCAGCCTTCCATCCTTCCGAAGTGGGTAAAATGAGGACCCAGACTGTTGGGGGCAAGAGGCTAATTCTGTAAACCGCTTAGAGAGGGCTGTAAAGCAGTGTTAAGCGGTATATAAGTCTATTGCTAAGTGCTAAAGAAGGGAGGGAGGAAGGAAGGAAGGGATTAAGGAAGGAGAGGGTGGGAGGAAGGAAGGAGAGGGAGGGAGGGAGGAAGAAAGGGATTAAGGAAGGAGAGGGAGGAAGGAGGGGATGAAGGAAGGAGAGGGAGGGAGGGAGGAAGGAAGGAGGGGATGAAGGAAGGAGAGGAAGGAAGGAAGGGATTAAGGAAGGGGAGGGAGGAAGGAAGGATGGAAGGAAGGAGAGGGAGGGAGGAAGGAAGGAAGTGATTAAGGAAGGAAGGGCCATGGTGGCGTACTGGTTAGAATGCAGTATTGCAGGCTGGCTCTGCCCATTCCAGCAGTTCGATTCTCACTGGCTCAAGAATGACTCAGCCTTGCACTCTTCCAAGGTCGGTAAAATGAGGAGCCAGCTTGTTGGGGGCAAGAGGCTGACTTTAGAGGGGGCTATAAAAGCCCTGTAAAGCAGTATATAAATCTATGAGCTGTTGCTATTCTGGCATTTGAAGCTATACAGGTAGGCCTCAACTTACAGCCATCCATTTAATGACCATTCAAAGTTACAACAACACTGGAAAAAAGGGACCTATGACCATGTTTCACACTTACGACCATCGTAGCATCTCCCCCGTGATCACTTGATCGAAATTCAGACGCTTGGCAACTGACTCTTATTTATGACGGTTGCAGTGTCCCGGGGTTACCTGATCTCCTTTTGCGACCTTCTGGCAAGCAAAGTCCATGGGGAGGCCAGATTCGCTTTACAGCCATGTGACTAACTGATGGTGTTACCTAGCTGGGTGAACGAAATGTCTGCAAGAAAACCACCCAACTCAGAGAGAGCACCAAAGGACCCCACTGCAAATCTTGGTTGCAGCTTCCACTGGCAAGAAACGTCCTAGAATGCCAAGGAAAAGAATCAGTTTGTGGATCACCCCAGATATCGGTGCTCGCCAGCTGCCAGCGGAACTGGTGGCAGACTCGAATGATGAGGAGGTTGGGGAGGAACTTGGGCCGGTTCTGGAGTCTGGGGAAGGCTCTGATGGATGCTCTGCATCGGACACAGAGATAAGAGCCAGGGCCGTCCGACATTTCCCAGCCACAGGAGAGGCAGCTGCCTTTGGAGGCTGAGATGAGTGAGGAGGAAGAACAGCTGGGGCCTGTTCCAAATGCACGTATGTGCAGAGCAGTTAGGAGAGGTGAACAATGGAGGACAAGGAGTTGACTCAGGAAGCAAAGCACATGTGGACGCTGAATGGCCCCTCCCTGGCCGAGGAATAGATAGAAGGAAAGAGGAGTGGTTGTCGTAGAAGACAACCGTTCGTATTTCTGAATGTTTTGCTCATGGTGTTTCGTGCATCAAAGACTGCCAGAACTTAAATTTGCAGCCTTTCGGCTGGAAGCTCAGGGCCTGGCAATTATCGCAAGGAACTGCTAAGGTCTGTTACTGCAGTTAACTCCTTGCAGGACTCTCATCTGGGCTTTTGGGTGGGTGAATGCCATTAATTCACAAGAGGTAAATCAAGAGGGGTTTTCCGTGACAAGGAGTCCGTTTCTTGCTTCTGCTAAGGCTGGGTCAGAACACCAGGCCTTGTCTCTGCCAACCCCCCTGTTGTCTTTTGCAGATGGATTCCCTCTGAAAAATGACCCCCTACCAAAAGAGGGGGATCTCCTTACTTCCACCCAGGGAAGGGATCAGGAGAGCAGAGCGCTGGGTCCCTCCTTCCCTGACCTGGCTTTGCGCCGTCCGAATTTGAGCCGCAGCAACAAATCAGAGGTAACCAAGAGGTTGGAGCACGGGGCGTGAGAAAGGTCCCAATCGGGGATTTGGGGGGGGGGCTGTAGGGATGCAGGCCAGGTTCTCAAGCTGGGGTCTTGTGTTGCTAAAAAGAGGTCATCACAATTGGGATGACTTTGCAATGCAGCGTGAGTGACGGTCTTGGGTGGGTTTGCGGTTGCAAAAGCTAAACTCACATTGGACACATGTCTATGGAGACTCTCAATTATCCAGGTCATGGCTGTCCCAAAGATGGAGTGGTGTAGTGGCCTAGAGGTGGAGCTCTCGCCTCACAACCAGGAGGCTTGGAGTTCGATCCTAGGTAGAGCCGGATATTTCTCTCTCTGGGCACAATGAGAATATATTTGCCGAATATAACTCCGCATTGGCGTCACGAAAGGCATCCGGCCAGTAAACACTCTGCTAGCTCCCAGACTCCACCCTGCAAGGAATTATGGGGTCGTTAAATGAAGATGATGATGATGGCTGTCTCAAAAGATGTTTTTCCAAAAGGCAACTTGGACTTTCTTGGTTTTTTTTTCTTGAAGATGTCTCGCTTCTCATCCAAGAAGCTGAAGAAGAACTGAAGAAGGTTCTTGGATGAGAAGCGAAACGTTTCCAAGGAAAAGCTACAAAAAGCCCAGCTGCCTTTTGGAAAAAGAGAGAGTGGTGGCGCAGTGGTCAGAGTGCAGTACTGCAGGCTACTTCTGCTTACTGCCGGCTGCCAGCAGTTTGGCAGTTCGAATCTCATCAGGCTCAAGGTTGACTCAGCCTTCCGTCCTTCCGAGGTCGGTAAAAATGAGGACCCAGATTGTTGAGGGCAATAGGCTCCCTCTGTATACCGCTTAGAGAGGGCTGTAAAAGCACCGTGAAGCGGTATATAAGTCTAAGGGCTATTGCTATCTTGGAGACTCAGGTTTTTATTTATTTATTTATTTACTTCAAATTTATATACCGCCCTTCTCCCTAGGGACTCAGGGCGGTGTACAGCCAAGTAAAAACACATAAATACATAATACATAGATTAAGAACAGATTAAAAGGAAATATCTCAATTTGGCCCAAAATTTAAAAAGACAAACGAATTTAAAATCATTTAAAAGGATTTGTTAGGCCAGCCCGGCTTGTTGAAAAAGGAAAGTTTTAAGGTTGGACAGCTCTTGCTTAGGCCTGCTTGGAGAAGCCAGTGGGAACTAGGCCATCCTATCAAACCAGCATATAGGGTTTATGTTCTGGGGGTGCTGTCTGTTGTGTGACCATCCCTTGTGTCCATGGAGCTCAGAGGGCTCTTTCGGCCAATGCCCCCTAACCAGCTGCTGCTTGTCTGAGGTCTGCCCCCCATGGGCCAGGGACGAGCTGAGATGGAGCATGGCATCGCAGGGGAAAACGTGTCCTCCTTCGTTCCCCAACAGGCCACTTTGGAGAAACTATCCAGACCCCACCTGGGCTCAGCGTTCAACTCGTTCGCCAACCCTCAAGGCTCCTTGCTAAACGATTCCTTGCTCAGCGATGTGTAAGTATGGGAGCTGGCACTGACCGGTGTGTGTGAGTCAAAGCAATCTCTGGACAAATGTTCCCTCTGCATCCGTACATCGTATTAAGCCATGATTTACTCATTCCAATAGATAGATGGTCGCATGCAATACATCTGTTTACCTCCCCCCCCACCACAATCCCGTCCTTTTAATCTCTACACGGCTACATTCCTGTTTGCACTGTAGCTGTTCAGCCAGTTTGGTCCAGTGGCTAAGGCACCTGGCGAGAAAGCTGGAGTCTGTGAGTTCTAGACTCACCTTGGGCATGAAAGCCAGCTGGGTGACTTTGGATCAATCATCAGGAGACGGGGAGTTCTAGCCCCGCCTAAGCCATGGAAGCCAGCTGGGTGAGTTTGGGCCAGTCACCAGGAGATGGGGAGTTCTAGTTCGGCCTTGGGCATGGAAGCCAGCTGGATAGCTTTGGGCCAATCACCAGGAGACTGGAAGTTCTAGTCCCGCCTTAAGCACAGAAGCCAGCTGGATGACTTTGGGCCAGGCACCAGGAGACAGTGAGTTCTAGTTCTGCCTTAGCCATGGAAGCCAGCTGGATAGCTTTGGGCTAATCACCAGGAGACTGGAAGTTCTAGTCCCGCCTTAAGCACGGAAGCCAGTTAGATGGCTTTGGGCCAATCACCAGGAGACTGGAAGTTCTAGTCCCGCCTTAAGCACGGAAGCCAGCTGGATGGCTTTGGGCCAATCACCAGGAGACTGGGAGTTCCAGTTCCACCTTACCCATGGAAAGCCAGCTGGGTAACTTTGAGCTAGTTTCTCAGCCCAACCCACCTCACAGGGTCCTTGTGGGGAAATTAGGAGGTGGGAGGTGTGTTGGTTACGTTTGCCACCTTGAGTTATTTGTAAAAATAATAAAGGCAGGGAACAAATAATATACAGAAGGGACGCGGTGGCTCAATGGCTAAGATGCTGAGCTTGTCGATCGAAAGGTCGGCAGTTCAGCGGTTTGAATCCCTAGTTAACGGGGTGAGCTCCCGTGACTTGTCCCAGCTTCTGCCAACCTAGCAGTTCGAAAGCACGTAAAAAAATGCAAGTAGAAAAATAGGGACCTCCTTTGGTGGGAAGGGAACAGCATTCTGTGCGCCTTTGGCATTGAGTCATGCCGGCCACATGACCACGGAGACGTCTTCGGACAGCGCTGACTCTTCTTCGGCTTTGAAATGGAGATGAGCACCGCCCCCTAGAGTCGGGAACGACTAGCACATATGTGCAAGGGGAACCTTTACCTTTACAAATAATATAAGTCAATGTTGGGTCTGCTCTTCGCCAGAGAAAAACAGTTGAGAAACCCTGGTCTAGATGGATGATGTTACCTAGGCTGGTAACGAAACGTTCGGGAATTTAATGGCAAGCTCGGAGAGGAGAAACCCATGCCAAATTCTAGACCAGAATTCCTCAGCCAGCATGTTTTAAGATGGGTGTATTCTCCTTCTGGAATTCCGCAGCCAAAATGCTTTAAGATGAATGGACTTCAATTCCCAGAATTCCGCATCCAATGTCCTTTAAGAGATGTGGACTTCAACTCCCAGAATTCCCCAGCCAGCATGCTTTTAGATGGGTGGACTTTTAACTCCCAGAATTCCCCACACAGCAATGGCTGGCTGAGGAATTCTGGGAGTTGAAGTCCACCGGTCTTAAACTGGCTAGGTTTGGTGAATCCCTTTGTCAGCGTTCCAAATTTTGTTTTCCTCCAGCGCTGACATGAATGAAAAAGGGAGAAGCTTTGCTTTAATGCTGAGATGAACTTTTACCTAGTTCCCTGCTCTTTAGTAGATAGCGTTACTTGGGTGACAGAGGGAGGGGGGAAATTCCTGTGAAAAGAAAGTGCTTGGGACGAAGAGATGGATCTGCACAATGGCCAATGAGACATTGGGGTTGAAGAACGGAAAGGGAGGGGTTTGGAAGGAGGGGCCAGTTTTGGCTGCACAAAGAGTTCAGGGATGTCGTTCTCCTATTCTTAAATAAATAATAAAAAAAAGATTCATTAGAGACCTTGCATTTGAGAATGAAGTTTATTTAAGATAGCAACGAAACCTGACACCCTTCCCCTAGAGTGCTGATAGAGAAGACTTTGAGAAATCAAGCTAACGCTTGCTTAAATCTTGAGCCGATACCTGAATGCAACGCTCACCTCCCGTTTTCCCCACTGCAGGTCCAGCTGCTCAGCTTCTCCAAGGCCCTTCTGCCAAGGGGTCACCAGGACTGGTCAGCCATGCCGAAAAAAAGCCCTCTCCGACCACCTCTTCTGCCACGTTCATGCGGCCAGACAGAGCCAACTCGCTTGATCTAGCAGCATCTTTGGAGGCTTCCAACCGTACCTGCTTTGCGATTCTGGTGGAAGCTTAAGGCTTCCACGCCAAGGCAGTAAAGCCCATTTTCAGAGGAATGACGTCGATTCCTCTTGGTTCAGCATTTATACACTGCTGAATAATCTAGTTTCTTTCTACCAATGATGGACAAAAAAAACCCCACCCCGATCTATTGGGTTGAGAAGCAATTAACATTCTGCTCCAATTTTATTTTAATGCCTGTGTTAGGCTGAAGGCACTATTTAAAAGCGATCGTTTTTTCTTAAGAGAGGGACGTGGCAGCTGTCCCAACAGACCGTCCGTTGAGTTAAAAAAAAAAAAGAACATTTTTTTTTTCTCTTGAAGATGTAACTTTCCATTTTTTTATATCCTCCAAAAAACAGAGAAACAAAATCCGAATCCAGTTCCGGTTGGAATTTTGCTCCGAGGACAGTTTTGGCTTGATGGTGAAATTTTACAATGATAGAAAAACAGCTGAACCAACCCAAAAATGCTTTGCAAACAAGTCTACAGCGCCTTCTTTTTAGAATTGATAATTGCTGTGTGTATGCTGAATAAAGATGTTTTTTTTATATAAATACTAATACAGGCGAGGAAATAAGCAAAATCAAAAAAATCAATTCGCCTTCATTCGTGAAAAATTTTTAAAAAATTAAATGGGGTACAGGCGATCCTCGACTTACAATCACAAGGGAGCCCCAAATTTCTGTTGCTAAGTGAGCCGTTTGTTGCTAAATGAGGTTTGCCCCATTTTATGACCTTTGGCCAGAGTTGTTAAGTGAATCACTGCAGTGAAACTAGTACCAAAATTAGTACCATTAGTACCTTGATGTACGACAACTGAGCCCAGAATTTATGTTGCTAAGAGAGTTTGTTAAGTGAGTTTTCTCCTATTTAATGACCTTTCTTGCCACAATTGTTAAATGAAAGTTAGGTAGTGACACGGTTGTTAAGTGAATCTGGCTTCCCCATTGACTTTGCTTGTCAGAAAGTCGCAAACGAACAGATTGACATTAAGAATTAAACAGAAAGAAGATACGGAATATTATCAAACATGGAATCTATTTTGTCAATGGTTGGGGAAAAGAGGTAGAGATTAAGAATGTAATATGTATTGTTAAGCAAACTAAATACCCAGACAACACGATGTTCATAAAGCACTAAATATCTCTTAATAAAATTTATAAAAGCCAAAAAAAAAAAAAAAAAGATCGCAAACAGGGATCACATGACTGGAGTTTGATCACATGACCCTGGGGGATGCCGCAATGGTCATAAGTGCAAAAAAAACAGTCATAAGTCACTTTTTTCACTGCCGTTGTAACTTTGAGCGGTCACTAAACAAACTCTACTCTCTGTATTTTGAATTCAGGTCTATTGTACCTTCCTTGTTAGGACTTCAGTGCTACTTACCTGAAACACATCAAAAGGTCATTTCCGATTTTCTCTCTCAAGTCTAAATGCTCCTCTTCCTTAACTAGAAAATGCCACCTGTGAATAAAAGACGTCTGGGTGCCAGATATAAAATCTAGGATCTGGGAGTCGTAGTGGACGATCCCTTAAATATGAGCCAGCTGTGTGCGGCAGCAGCCAAAAAAGCTAACACAATCCTTGGCTGTATAAACAGAGACATAGAATCAAAATAATGTGATTTGCACCGCTTTATAAAGCCTTCGTAAGGCCACACCTGGAATCCTGCATCCAGTTTCGGTCACCACATTATAAAAAAAGATGTTGAGACTTTGGAAAAAGTGCAGAGAAGAGCAACTAAGATGATGAAAAGGCCTGGAGACTAAAACATACGAAGAACGGTTGCAAGATTTGGGTATGGCCAGCCTAGAGAAAAGGACAACTAGGGGGGAACATGATAGAAGAGTTCCAGTATTTGAGGGGCTGCCACAAAGAAGAGGGGTTTCAACTTATTTTCCAAAGAGCCGGAAGGCAGAACAACAGACAATGGATGGAAACTAATCAAGGAGCGAAGCAACCTGGAACTAAGGAGAAACTTCGTAACAGTGAGAACAACTGACCAGTGGAACAGCTTGCCACCAGAAGTTGTGGGTGCTCCATCACTGGAGGTTTTTAAGAAGAGATTGGGCAGCCATTTGCCTGAAATGGTACAGGATCTCCTGCTCGAGAAGGGGGTTGGATTAGATGACCTCCGAGGTCCCTTCCAGCTCGATTCTAATTTGTCCTCTGAAAAGGAGTGCGGCCCTGTATTTTTCTGGCACCATCAGCAAAAGACAAGCTTTGTTCCCAGCCCTCCAGCTGTTCTTGCTGGAAGCATCAACAAGCAGCTGTTTGATCCAGGAAAGTTCCTTAGCAACATCTGGCAGGTCTCGAGCTTCGGATAATGCTAATTGCCAGCTTATTACGGAGAAGACACGTTTCATTTTGATTCAGCTGTCGGCTTTTAACTCTAAGCAGCACAAAGGGTGTCTAAAACATTACAGGTAGGCCTCGACTTATAACAGTTCGTTTAGTGACCGTTAAAACGGCACTGAAAAAAGTGATTTAGGACTGTTTTTCACACTTACGACGGTTGCTGCATCCCCATGATCCTGTGATCCAAATTCAGATGCTTGGAAACTTGGTTCATACTTATGACCGTTTCTGTGTCCCAAGTGACCGGTATTCACACTTACGACCTTTGAAGCACCCCTATGATCATGTGATCAAAATTCAGACAGTTGGCAACTGATTCATACTTACGACTGTTGCTGTCCCCTTTTGCGATCTCCCGACAAGCAAAGCCAATAGGGAAGCCGGATTCGCTTAACAATGGGATTACTATTTAGTAATCCTGTTGTTAAGTGAATTGTTGACTTAATGATTCACTTAACAACAGTGGCAAGAAAGGGGGCAAAACTCAATCACTGCCTTGCTTAGCAATTTTTGGGGTCAATGTTGGTCATAAATCGAGGTCTTACCCATAACACATGTAGTTCCTGACTTATGACCATAATTAAGAGAGGAAACCTGGTTGTTAAAACCATTACTGTCGTGGGTCAAGGCAACCACATGAGCAAAAGTAATTTTAGGGCCTTGTCCCGGCAGTCATTAAGCAAATACCGCAGTCATTAAGTGAACCCATTGATTTGAATGTGTGTTTTTGGCCAGAAACCAGCAAAAAATGCTGGAAACTGTCGAAACAAATGTAGGCATTTCTCAACTTACGACCACAATGGAGCCCAAAATTTCTGTTGTTAAGCGAGACATTTGTCAAGTGAGTTTTGCCCCATTATAGACCTTTCTTGCTACCGTGGTAAAAAGAATCATTGCCGTTGATAAGTAACATATTTCTTAAATCAATATATCTTCCTCATTGATTTTGTTAGTCAAAAGGTCGCAAAAGGGGATCATATGACACAGCAACGGTCATAAGTATGAATCAATTGCCAAGCGTCAGAAATTGGATCACATGATCATAGGGATGTTACAAAGGTAAATGTGAATAATGGTCATAAGTCAGTGCAGTTATAACTTTGAATGGTCACTAAATGAATGGTTGTAAGTCGAGGACTTCCTGGAAAAGAGTTTCACTGACACACCAAGTATGTGCAGAATTAAAATTTGCTCGCTAGATTGGCGGATTCCCCTCGCTGGCGGTCATCCAAGGGGCTCGCTTAAGCACACAACGTCCGTCTTTAAGTGGCTAAAATCCGTTAAAATTCTTTGTTAAAAAAGAAAAAGCCAGAAACAGATTCCGTTTTGGTACTCTAAGCAATTTTCTTTTAATTCTCTCTTTTTTTTCTCCTTCTTCACCAAAAAGCTACCTGAGATTGAGAGGAGGGTGCAGCCGCCCCTACTTTAAGGTGCCGCCATCGCGGGTGCCCTTCGGTCATTTCCGGGCGCTGTCGTAATGGGCGCAGAACCAGTCGCACATTTCTTTCACGGCTGCAGGAGAGAGGAGAAGATGGAAAAACGGAGGCAATGAAATCGGAAGGAGGGACGGGGACAGTATTTGCCCCTCCTTCAGCAGGAAAAGTTAGGGGGCAGTTTTCCGCAGGGATGAAATTTTGGCTAATTTGGTAAGTTTTAAAAGTGGGCTTTGGGAGGACCTCAGCTAGAGAAAAATATGTTCTGATTTGCCAAAAGGAATAGGAATTAGATTAGGATAGGATAGGATAGGATAGGATGGGATGGGATGGGATGGGATGGGATGGGATAGGATAGAATATGGAGTGGAATGGAATGGAATAGAATGGAATGGAAAAGAATTAATAAAATGAGTGGCATGGAATGAAATGGAATAGAATAAAATAGAATAAATTAATAAAATATGGAGTAGAGTAGAGTAGAATATAGAATAGAATAGAATTAATAAAATATTTGGAATGGAATGGAATAGAATAAAATAGAATAGAATTAATAAAATGTGGAATGGAGTAGAGTAGAATATAGAATAGAATAGAATTAATAAAATATGTGGAATGGAATGGAATAGAATGCAATGGAAAGGAAAAGAAAAAAAAGAATTAATAAATGTGGAGTGGCATGGAATGAAATGAAATAGAATAGAATAGAATTGAACTGAATTAATAAAAAATGGAATGGAATAGAATAGAATAATAAAATGCAGAATGGAGTGGAGAGTGGAGTAGAGTGGAGTGAAAGGAAAGGAATAGAAATAAGAATAGAATAACAGAATTGGAAGGTACCTTGGAGGTATTCTAGTCCAACCCCCTGCTTAAGCACGAAATCCTATACCATTTCAGACAAATTTCAAAAAACCTCCAGTGTTGGAGCATTCACAACTTCTGGAGGCAAGTTATGCACGTTAAGTCATCCACCATTCAGTTTTTCTCAATTATGGGGGAATGTTACGACATGTGGACTTCAACTCCCAGAATTCCCTAGCCAGCATGGCTGGCTGGGGAATTCTGGGAGTTGAAGCAGAGGTGAAATGCTTCCGGTCCGGTTCGTCCGAACCGGTAGTAAAAAATGTAAAAAAAAAAAAAAAGTTCCGACGATCAGCTGAGTGACATGCGATTGTTGGAACTTCTTTTTTTTACTTTTTAGGCATTTTTTTACTACCTGTTCTTCAGAACCGGTAGTAAAAATGCTTTAAAAAAGTAAAAAAAAAAGGCTCCAACGATCACAGCTGTGCTGTGCGATCGTCAGAGCCTTTTTTTTAACCTTTTAAAAGCATTTTTTAACAACCTATTCGCCCGAATCTATCAAGTCTCTCAAGGCTATATGGAAAGACCCAGGAGACCTCATTGGACGTGGTTCTCTTACCTTGATCGAACGGCGTGAACTGGAAGTCAGGCAGGTATCTCCTCAGCTTGGCATTACTGGCCGTTTTCTTGAACTGACCATCCGATTTGGATTCGTCAAACTCGAAGTAGGAGGTGAGGTTAAAGAAAAGTACCCCAACATCAATCTTATGACGGATCACACAAGAGACAGTTCGTGTTTTGTAGGATTAAAAACAACTTCACCAAGACGTTTGGAAGGTTAGAGGTGGCCATCCCTGCAGGGCTGTGGTTCATAGAGAGAATGGGACAGGGGCTGGGCTACTGGAGGTTCTCAGCAGTTCGGGAGAACCTCTAGCGAAGATTCTGTGCAGCTCGGAGAACCCCCAAATCCCACTTCTGGTTGGCCCCGCCAAATCCTCCCCTCCCCTCCCCGGAGTCCCCATGTGGCCTGTTTTGGATGCAGGTAAGTGCAGGGCGCGCGCGGAGGCTCGGGGAGGACGAAAAACAGGCCTACCGGAAGTTCAGGAAGGCCAGAACAGGCCCGTTTCCGGCCTCCAGAGGGCTCCTGGAGCCTGGGGAGGCTGTTTTCGCCCCACCGGAGGCTCGAGGAAAGCCTCCGGAGCCCGGGGAGGGCAAAAATGCCACCCCCGTGGTGCAGGAGGCTGACTAGGCCACGCCCACCATGGCCACGCCCATCCAGCAACCAGGCAGAGAACCCCTTGCTAAAATTTTTGAAGCCCACCCCTGGAATGGGAGCTCTTGGGAACAAGGCCTACATGTGACAGATGTCTACAGAAACGACTGACAACTTGTGTTTCCAAATCCTGAGAAGAACTTTCAGATGTACGGACTTCAAATCTTGAGATCTTTCAGATGCAGGACCCAAAGGTGCTTTTTTCCAAGAGGCAACTGGACTTTCTGGTTTTTACTTTGAAGACGTTTCGCTTCTCATCCAAGAAGCTTCTTCAGCTCTGACTTGGATGGCGGGGAATGGAAGGATTTATTCTTGCTGATGATGTTGAGCCAGGAGATGGCTGTCCTTGATCCAGCCCCAAAAGTCAAATTTTATGAGTCAGAATCAGAATCGAGCTGGAAGGGACCTTGGAGGTCTTCTAGTCCAGCCCCCCACCCTATAGCATTTCAGACAGCTTCTTGGATGAGAAGCAAAATGTCTTCAAAGAAAACCCAGAAAATCCAGTTGCCTCTTGAAAAAAGCTCCTTTGGGACAACCATGACCTGGATGGCTGAGAATCTCCATAAACTTTCTATTGTTTAGCAATGGAAATTGTGTCGTAAGTCAAGGACTATCCGTATGGTAGAAAGAACCTGAGAGTGTGGTCTGCTCCAATGCCTGGGGAATCACTGACAAAGGATACCAGAAGTTGTCCTTTGAAATCCATGGCTTTCACGATGCATTCAGCAGCTTCTCGTATGGATACCTCTTCTTCTTCTCCCACTGGGACAAAAGAAGCAGAAGAAGAAGAAGGTGAGACCAAGTCCAGAGATGCCCCACCATTCCTTGGGTCCATCCTGTTATTAGGCTGCCCACCGCCCTCCCTTGCCCTCAACCTCCTTGAGATGGGAAGGGATGGGATGGGGCTGGTCTTTGCAGTGGAATGTGGGCAGGGTTGAGGGGTCCCTGGTGCTCTCTGAGCTTGGTAGTTTTCTTTTTTTTTTTATTGAAAAGTTTTAAAAAGTTTTATAGACATTTCCCCTTCCCCTCCCTCCTCCCCCTCCCCTCCCACTTCCCAGAGCAAAATACAGGGTATAATAAGCTAACATAAGCTAATTATCTATAGCCTCCTATCCCCCTCTTGAACTTTTAACTCCCCTTTTACTAAACTAAATTTAAGTACTTTATAAAATCTCTTTGATCATTCATAAGCTATTTGAAATTTTTTAGTCCGATATTTGCCTTGAATATAATCAATCCATCTTCTCCAATCTAACATATATTTCTCATTTGAATGGTCCTTTAGATATGCTGAAATTTTCGCCATTTCTGCTAAATTTACTACTTTTAATGTCCATTCTTCCTTCTTCCAGTACTGCGGAGTTTGGTGGTTTTCTTGCAGATGTTTTATTACCCAAGCAGCAAGGGTGAAATGCTCCCGGTTCGGACTGGATCACCTGATCCGGTAGCGATGGAGGCGGGTGGTTTGGAGAACCGGTAGCAAAAATCCCTGCCCTCCCCCCCCCATGCCCAGCTGAGCCGCACAATCATCAGAGGCTTTTTTTTTTTTTTACTTTTAAAAAAAGCTTTTTTATTTATTTATTTTGGCCTCTTCGGCCCAAAAATGCTTTTAAAAGTAAAAAAAAAAGTCTCTGATGATCACGCGCCTCAGCTGGGACTGTCAAAGGCTTTTAAAAGGAAAAAAAAACCTTTTTTTTCTTTTAAATGCCTCTGACGATCCCAGCTGAGTTGCCTGATATTCAGAGGCTTTTTAAAAAAAGCCTCTGCCGATCAGGCAACTCAGCTGGGATCGTCAGAGCCTTTTGAAAGCATTTTTTTACAACTTCTTCGCCGAAGTAGGGCGGTATAAAAATCTAATTAAAAAAAAAAAAAACATGGCCCAATCACCATCCGTCCCAACTTGAGCCATCATTGCAACCACTCCTCCTCCAGATGCCTGGACACCATGACCTTGACCGAAAAGAAGAATGCTATTATGTCTAACTACATTCCCTCTACTAAATCCCCACTCCTATTTTCCCAAGCGCAAGAAGGCGGCAGGGTGGAAGCTTCCGGTGTTAATATGGCTCCCAAAGCTGACAGGGAGGAGGAGGAGGAGGAGGAGGAGGAAGACCGTGGGGTCCCTGGTGCTCTCTGACATTGGTTGTTTTCTTGCACACATTTCATTACCCAACTAGGGAACATAATCAATGTTAGAAGGATTGGGGTTTTTGGAGAAGTTGAGGAGGAGGAAGAGGAGGAGGAGGAAAAGACAACTGTGAGATCCCTGGTGCTCTCTGAGCTTTGTGGTTTTCTTGCAGACGTTTTGTGTTGGGGACAGCAGCAGGAAGAAGAGGGAGGAGGAGAAGGAGAATATAAACAGAAGAGGAGGGGAAAGAGAAGGAGTATATAAACGAGAGCCACTCCTTACTAGCACTGATGATATTATCTAGTTGGGTAATTAAACGTCTGTAAGACAACAGACAAGCTCGGGGACCACCAAGGACCTCACAGTGATTGCCCTCCTCTTCCTCCTAGATTGTGTGGTTGGGAGGAAGAGAGTTAAGACAGCTCATTCTGTAGAAGTTCTCAGAGGATATCTTCAATAATGCAAACAGTCTGCTTTAGTCTGGCAAGATTCTGTCTAGAGATGAGGAACAATAAATTGCTTAGAAGTGTTGTGGCTCCGTTACCTGAGCCTGTGTCATCGGCAGGAGAGGACTCCGAGAGTGAAGGAGAGGAGTTGGCAAGGCCTCCCTCTCCAGGACCCTCCTCTCTGGCAATGCCTTCGGTGACTGCCGAAGGGCAAGAGATAGGCCCGGGGCCAAGCACGTCCACGCAGCCACAGACGGACAGTGATGAGGGTAATGAGTCTTGGCTGGATCCATGCCAGCGTCGCAGAGATAAGCGTGCGCAACAGAAGAAAAGGCGTGCCAGAGATTAGGCTGAGTCACTGGACCACACCCCACAGGATATAAAAGAGAACGTGGTGGCCAGTCAAACCTTGTGATGAACAAAGCTGAAAGCTTCCACGCCATTCTGCATTGCCTGACTTTTGCTATAAGACTTTGCTGGATTATCTCTGGACTTGATTGTAATTATTGAGCTGTTTCTTTGGATGTACCAGGAGTGGGGAGAAGTTATCTCTCCTCTTCGTAAATAATAAACTCTTGGCAGGCAGCCACTAGGTTGTTGCCAAGTTCCGTTATCATAAGGAAAAGGATTTTGCCGGCTGGTTTGGTCTTTAACTCTTGAACGTCTGTTGGTGTGTGTGCGTGTGGTTGGGGACAGAACAAGAAGTAACTCTGTGTGTCTTTCTTGGTTTGTGGAACCTGACAGTCTCCTTCATGATTCTCCTGGCCTTTGACCTTCTTCTGAAACTTCCAAAGTTGGGTGAGAAACATTAAGCAGATGCATCATCACAAAAAATCTGATATTTTTTTTAAAAAGGATTCCACATTCAAACTCCGGTGTTCGTGGATGGAGGGCACTTACCTGACAAGATGATGGGTTCTATTTCATTGTACTCTCTTAACACCCAAACAAACAGCCGAGCCAGGTCCTGAAAGGCATAAGAGAAGAAATTGGTAATAGAGGTAGACCTCGACATACGACAGATTGCAACCATTCCAAGTTACGACCAAGTGCTCCAAAAAGAGCACTTATGACCCAGATTCATATACAGTTGGGCCTCCTTTGTGCTCCTGTGACCAAAGTTTAGGCAATTATTAACACAACTGAATTTACCGCTGTTCGTAGCATCCTAGGGTCACAATATCGTGTTTTACAATAGCTTTGCGGAAAATTGGCACCTACTTCCAATTTTCAACAAAAAGCGCATCAATGGAGAAGCATTGGTTCGCTTAACGATAGCAGCATTTGCTTAACCGCCAAAAAAAAAGGTATGACCAACCTGTTTTACTACTGTTACAAACATACATGTAGGAGGTGACCAAGCTAAGCCTGAGGGAATGGTCAAATGTGTCATCAGTCATGAGTCCCTGCATGTCCACAAAAGTCCATCCCACTTTGAATTCCTTCTATTTTTATCTCCCGCTAATTTCCCTTGGCTGTTAGTAGTTGAGATTCTTGTACAGCATGGGTCCCCAACCTGTGAGCTGTGGCCCACTACTGGGCCGTGGCCTATTTGCAACGGGGCCGTGTGAGTGGTGGGCTGGTGTGCACGTGCAGCCCTACTCGCACAAGCAATACCCCAAAGTCTTACCTCTTGCGTGAGTAGAACAACATGTGTACCTGCACCGGCCCACCGCTCGTGCAGGATGGCTCCCCTCTGCCTCCGCCCCAGCAGGGCCGCAAAGCTGCCTGCTCTGAATCGTCCAAAAGCAGAGCGGTGAGAGCAGACGCTGAGTGGGACGAAAGCACCCTGCTCAGCTTCGTTGATTCACCGAGTCTGCCTGCAGAGGACACCTGGTCCGATTTTGGAGCATCGGGCAGCCTCGGTGCGTCAGAAGGAGCACGAGATCCCGCCACCAAAGGTTTCTCTTCTCCATGTCCAAAAGCTTTTGCAAAATGCTTCTTTGAGGAGGGATCTCACACTGCTTCAGGCCTTCTGTGCTTTGCAAAAGCTTTTGGAGCGGAGAAGCCTGAAGGAGCATGTGCATGTGTGCACCGGCCCACTTCCCGTCTCCCCCACAAGCCACAAAGGTTGGGGACCGCTTAAGCCTAAAATAAACCTTCATACGCATTTCAACTGCCTGAATCGCCCGATCTCCCTGGCGCTTGACAATACGACAGTAATGGGGAGCCTCCATTACAGTCGTTGGTTGAGCACAAGCTGTATCTAAAACTCTCGTGGAACCATTTGAAGTCACATTTCACACTTTGAACTTGAACTTCTCCCTCCTTTCCCCAAAATGCAGTGGTGATTAGGCTTACCAGAGAGTAAATGAACTGTCTCCGAGGCTTTCCCGTGCCCCAGACGGTGACGTTGGTGCCATTTTCTGGAGGAAAAGCACGAAGAAAGTTGGTCGTTAGATACAGCATCTCCTGCCTCAATTAATTAATTATTTATTTATTTAATTAATTAATTTTTATACTCCCGAAGGACTTAGGGCAGTGAACAGTCAGAATAACATACATATAATGTGAAATAAAAACAATTTAAAATAATTAAACCAATTTGGCTCATCAATTAAGATCTTCAGCATAGAATTTAGATAATCTGAAAAATTTATGCCAGTCCGGTTTGGTGAAATAGAAAGGTCTTCAGGACACGACGGAAAGTACGTCCTGCAAGAAATTTTCAAAAAATTTGCAAGAATTCTTCCTGCAAGAAATTTCCGCCTTCCCTTTGCAGCTCATTTCCATAAACCTCCTTCGATGCTGATTTAATTTTCTTAGTCCTCAACTTACAACAGTTCATTTAGTGATTGTTTGCAGTTTCAACGGCACTGAAAAATCACCATTTTTCATACTTGTGCTATTATGACCTTTCTTCCCACAGAGATTAAGTAAATCACTACGGTGGTTAAATTTTTAACACGGTTGTTAAGTGAATCTAGCTTCCCCATTGACTTTGCTGGTTGGAACATCACATGACCCGGGGACACTGCGACAGTCATAAATACGAGTCACCAACCAAGCCTCTGAAGTTTGATCACGTGACCACGGAGATGATGCAAAGGTCATAAGTGCCGTTGTAACTTCAAATTGTCACTAAAGAAGTGGCTGTAAGTTGAGAACTACCTGTAAATAAATAAAATAATAAAATAAATAACAACATAAGATAATAAAATAAATAACATAAAATAATAAAATAAAATAATTAAAATAGAATTAAAATAAGAAAATAAAAAATAAAATAAAATAATAAAATAAAACAAACAATAATAAAATAAATAAAATAAAGTAAAGTAAAACAAAGTAAAATAAAACAAGTCACAAGTCATTTTTCTTTAAGTGCTGCTGTAACTTCAAGTTGTCACTAAACAAGTGGCTGTAAGTTGAGAACTACCTGTAAATAAATAAAATAATAAAATAAATAAAGTAAGATAATAAAATAATAAATAAAATAAAATAATAAAAATAGAATTAAAATAATAAACTTAAATTAAAAAATAAAAAATAAAATAAAATAATAAAATAAAACAAAACAATAATAAAATAATAATAAAATAAAATAAATAAAGGCCGGCCTATAAATCGAACCAATAAATAAATAAATAAATAAATAAATAAATAAATAAATAAATAAATAAATAAACAAAACAAAATAAAGTAAAATACAGTAAAACAAAATAAAATAAAACGAGTCACAAGTCATTTTTCTTTAAGTGCTGCTGTAACTTCAGACGGTCACTAAACGAATGGCTGTAAGCCCAGAACTACTAACCTGTATTTCCGAGAGTCACTGTTTTTCTCCCACCCACCCCCCTCCCCGGGGTGGAAGTGTGCAAGCGGCTGGGCTGTTCTAGGGACGGCAGAGAGGGGTCGCTCTCCCCCTGCCCCAATTCCAAAGCCTGGACAGCCCAGCCTGGCATCCGAAGGCAGCACGAGGTGTTTTTGGCAGCCAGCAGCGTCTGTCAGCTTCAGCCCCGGATGAGAGCAGAGGGAGGCTAAATGCTTAGCAGATGCGCCGGCAATCTTGGCTTGTAAGAGCCGGGATTGTAGCTCAGACAGAGTGTCTGCCAGGACCCCGACCTGCAGCAGCCACATCTCCGAGAGGCTCTGATTTATTTATGATCCTTGATTGCCCGGTGGGAGGGGGGAAGGAAGGCAAACGGAGCCAGGAATCCTGGATAGTGGTTCTCTTCGGATCTCTTTCTTTCTCTTAAACCGCAGAGGTGGTGGAGAATGCACCGGGAGCCCCTCTGTTAAATGCACCCCTCCCTTGCCACGTCTTCCAGTTAGCCAAATCATGGCGCTCTTTCTTTCTTTCTTTCTTTCTTTCTTTCTTTCTTTCTTTCTTTCTTTCTTTCTTTCTTTCTTTCTTTCTTTCTTTTTCTTTATGGTTGGACTAGAAGACCTCCAAGGCCCCTTCCAACTGTGTTTTTTTTTTTTTTTTTAATTTGATTTATATGCCGCCCTTCTCCGGAGACTCAGGGCGGCTTACAATGCGTTAAGCAATAGCCTTCATTCTTTTGTATATTTTATACAAAGTCAGCTTATTGCCCCCACAAACTGGGTCCTCAATTTACCCACCTTAGAAAGGATGGAAGGCTGAGTCGACCTTGAGCCTTGGAGAGATTCAAACCTGCAGTAATTGCAGGCAGCTGGTCTTAATAACAGGGTGCGTAGACCACTGTACCATCAAGGCTCTTGCATCTCAACTTTTTTATTTTACAAATAACTCAAGGCGGGAAGCATATCCAACACACTTTCCTTTTGCTATTTTGCCCAAAACAACAACCCTGTTAGGTAGGGTGGCTTGGGTTGAGAGAAAGAGAGGGAGGGACTGGCCTAAAGTCACCCAGTCAGTTTTCATGACTAAGGAGTGAGTAGAACTCAGAATTTCCTGCTGATTGGCTGAAAGTTACCCGTCTGGTTTTTCATGCCTAAGGTGGAACTAGATCTCACAGTCACCTGGTGATTGGCCTAAAGTTACCCAGCTGGTTTTCATGCCTAAGGTAGGACTAGAACTCACCATCTCCTGGTGATTGGGCCAAAGTTAACCGGAAGGTTCTCATGCCAAAGATGGAACTACAACTCACAGTCACCTGGTGATTGGTCCAAAGGTACCCAGCAGATTTTCATGCTAAAATGGAACTATAACTCACAATCACCTGGTGATTAGCCCGAACTCACCCAGCTGGTTTTTCATGCCGAAGGCGGGACTAGAACTCACTGTCTCCTGGTGACTGGCCCAAAGTCACTGAGCAGCTTTGGTGCCTAAGGTAGAACTAGAACTCCTCAACTCTCCTTCATTGGCCCAAAGTCACCCAGCTGACTTTCAATCCTAAACCGGGACTAGAATTCCCAGTCTTCTGGTGACTGGCCCAAAGTCACCCAGCTGATTTTCATACCTAAGGTAGGACTAGATCTCAGAGTCTCCTGTGATTGGCCCAGAGTTCCCTAGCCAGCTTTCATGCTTAAAGTGGGACTAGAACTCACAGTCTCCTGGTTTTTACCTCAGTGCTTTAACCACTAGACTAGACCAAACTGGCTGTCACAAATTGTTTTGCGTTAGAGGGTAGGACAAGAGACAGACAACCCCCCCCCCCCCCCCGTCCCCGTCCCCGTCCCGCTCTCTCACTCACTCTTCGCCAGGTAGACTTTGTGGACGAGGCCTGGCAGGACGTGCCCGTTCTCGATGCTGAAGTTGTCGTGGGGCCCAAAGATATTCGTGGGGATGGTCGCCGTGAAGTGGCAGCCGTGCTGTTCGAAGTACGCCCTGGGGGAGGAAAAGGGATTAAGAAGGGGAGGGTTTCAAAATAATTGGGGCGCTTAATGGCAAAGAAATACTGGGAGTCCTCAATTTATAACAATGCATTTAGTGACCATTCAAAGTTACGTCACTGATACCAGAGATATTTTTATTAGGGATTTTACCAGAAATGTACAACAAAGAACTGAGATATTTAATTGTGAATGTTTTAACAGTGGCTAGAATTGTTTTTGCTAAAAATTGGAAAGGCGAGAAGATACCTACTGATGATGAAGTTATTAAGAAAATTATGGACAGTGCTGAAATGTGTAAATTAACATTTGAAATTACAGAACAGGAAGATAAACAATATTATTTGGTTTGGGATTTGTTCTATCAATGGCTAGATAGTAAAGCATGGAGATGAAGTATGAAATATGATATATGTAATGATAAAATATATGAAGTGTTTTTTTTTTATGGGAGTTAAGCCCTTGTTAAATAATGGTTAAATGAGTATAATAATATAAAGGGATATATAAAACTGTTAAATAAGAGAAATTAAATAATTGGTAATTTTGGATAGGGGATCGTGCACAAAAGAATTTTAACCGGCACAAGTTACATCACTGAAAAAAATGGTAGGACCATTTTTCACACTTACGACCGTTGCCACATCCTCACGATCATGTGATCAAAATTTAGACACTTGGCAACTGGCATGTACTTATGATGGTTGCAGCATCCCAGGGTCGCAATGATCCCCTTTTGCGACCTTCCGACAAGCCAAGTCAACGGGGAAGGCAGATTCACTTAACAACCAGGTGACTCACTTATCCACTGCAGTGATTCACTTAACAACTGAGGCAAGAAAGGCTGTAAAAACGGGGCACTTAACAAATGTCTCGCTTAAGAACAGAAACCTGGAATTAGGGTCATAAGTCATGTCAGTCATTAAGCAGGTCATCTATTCTATTCTATTCTATTCTTCATTCTTATTCTCATTCCATTCCATTTTCTTCCTTAACTTGATCTGCTTCCTGACCGGTCCTAGAACTCCTAGGGCAGTGATGGCGAACCTTTCTGCTGTCGTGTGCCAAAAGCAGGGGGAGCGCAGGGGGGTTGCGCCCACGCGTGCCTACCACCTATAATTCAGTGCGCCCCACCTCATGCGACACCCCTGTGCTCCCCCCACTTTTGGCATGAGATGGCACAGTGGGCCCAGTAGGCCCATTTTTCGCCCTCCCCAGGCTCCAGACGCTTTCTTGGAGCCTGGGGAGGGCAAAAACAGCCTTCCCCATCCCCCTAGAGGCCGGAAACGGCCCATTTGCTGACTCCCAGTGGGACTGGAAGGCCCATTTTTTGCCCTTCCCCGGCCCAAGAGCCTTTCTAGGAGCCTGGGGAGGGCGAAAACAGCCTTCCTCACCCCCCTGGAGGCCCTCTGGAGGCCGGAAATAGTCTGTTTCCCGACTTCCAGTGGGCCCAGAAGGCCCGAAAATCAGCTGGCTGGCGCTGAGCTAGGGAACACTCGCGTGCCCGATATGGCTCCACGTGCCACATCACAGTCCTAGGGAATGACCAGGTGAGACTTACCTGTTCTGCACATCAATCATCCTTTTGGCGTACGCGTACCCGAAGTTGGAGCTGTGCGGAGGGCCGTTGTGAATCTGGAAGGGAAATTTTGCATGTTAGGAAGCCCAAGCGACCAATGACGTTCTGAGAATGGAGATTTCTGGCTCTCCTCTGAAGGCCACCCCTGGGCAGGGCAGAGAGAGACCTCCAGGTACCAGCAGGAAGACCAAAGATGGTGGAGAAGAACGAAACCTGGACCAACTCCAAATTTAGGGTAAGAAAGAACATTGGAGAAATACATTAGACTTAGAATAACTTAGAACAGACTTAGAAAAACTTCCATACTAGGAGCTGCTGATCCAGTTTACAGAGGAATTATTGAGTTTTGCCATCTGCACCTCCATAACTGTCTGGTTTGGCTCTGCAACCCAACAAGACAGACACGGATTTCAGAGGATAATTCGAACTGCAGAAAAAACCATGGCTACCAACCTGCCTTCCGTTGAGGGCCTGTATACTGCACGAGTCAAAAAGAGGGCTGTGAAAATATCTACAGACCCCTCGCATCCTGGACATCAACTGTTTCAACTCCTACCCTCAAAACGACGCTATAGAGCACTGCAGACCAGAACAACTAGACACAAGGACAGTTTTTTCCCGAACGCCATCACTCTGCTAAACAAATAATTCCCTCAACATTGTCAAACAATTCACTAAGACTGCCCTACTATTAATCTTCTCATCGTTCCCATCACCCATCTCCTCCCACTTATGACCATATGACTGTAACCTTGCTGTTTCATTTAACGACTGGGGCAAGAATGGAGGTAAAATGGGGCAAGACTCACTGAAGAACTGTCTTGCTTATCAATGGAAATGTTGGGCTCCATTGTGGTCGTAAGCCGAGGACTACCTGTAAGTGGAGAAAGGGGTATTTGGCTCACAGCCCTTACCATGGTCTCGTCAATAGGGTAGGTGGTCTTGTCTGGAAATATGCAGGTGGACAGGCAGGAAACGACTTTCTGGACGCCAGATTCAAATGCTGCTTGCAAGACATTGTCGTTGATGTGGATATTCTTCCTCTGGGGACACACAAAGGGAGAAGCCCACAATCAGATGTTGCAAAATGTTATCAAGGCTGAAATTGGACTTTCTGATTTTTCTTTGAAGACTTTTTGCTTCTCACCCAAGAAGCTTCTTCAGCTCTGACTGGATGGTGGGGAATGGAAGGATTTATACTCCTTGCAGACAGCTGGTCATTTGCATCCTTTTAGAGAGTCCTTGAGGCCACTTGGAGGTTTATCTGTGTCCTCAGGGTCACCTGAGTGGTGCAAACAGGTGTGGAGCCTTCTTGGAACTGTTGACTGTGTTGTAGACTGGAGATAAGTGGTGTCATATCCCTCCCCCTCTGTGTTGAAAGAGGGCTGTTCAATTTGGACATAGATGTCCTCTTGGAGCCCTTTCAAACCAGCGGTCCTCTCTGTTCAAAATGTGGACTTTGCTGTCTTCAAGAGAGTGGCCTCTGTCTCTGAAATACAGATGGACTGCTGAATACGATGGGAGCTCCATGTCTGCCCCAATTTGGGTAAATCTATTATTTCAAGAAAATTCAAGCTTCTGATAAACTGCGGAGTCTGTCAATCCCACCCAGTTCTGCAAAGTTTGTTTCTTGGGTTTTTTTCTGCTATGTTGTGCCATTTGTTTGTAAAGCGGTTGTTTTGTTTCCCCAATGTATAGATGCCTCACTGTGTTGCACTGCATATACCACATTGCTCAGTTTGTGTCTGGGTGTTTTATCCTTGAAGTGAACAAGCTTCTGCCTTAGTGTATACAACCGTGACCAGGATGACTTCCACCAAATGACCACTCCTAATCTATGGAATCCGACACATGTCCTGGAGGGCCGAGTAGATGTCATGGGAGAGACACGATCCTTCAAATAACCTGACCCCAAGCCATCTAATTTATTTTATATTGGGAGGGGCAGGAATGGGGGCATCCAAAGGGAAGAAGGTCCCTTAGGATACCAATTGAAAAAGGCTGGAAGAAGGAAATTCCCAGCTTGCTCCAAAGGAAGCTTAAAGCGGCTTAAAATTTTTAACTGGTTAATTTTATGGGTAAGGGGTTTTAAATTAGGGAAGCCAAATTGATTTAATTATGTTTTAAATTATTTTAATTTTCATATTGTATGTATTTTAATCTTGGCTGTTCACTGCCCTGAGTCCTTCGGGAGAAGGGCGAAATAAAAATTTAATTAATAGTAATAATAATAATAATAATAATAATAATAATAATAATAATAATAATAATAATAATAATAATAAATAATTACAACCACGACTTGCTTTTCTGTTGTTAAGTGAGACATTTGTTGAGTGAAATTTGCCTCATTTTACGACCTTTCTTCCCAGAGTCGTTAAATGAATCACTGCAGTTGTTAAATTAGTAACACAGTCGTTAAGTGAATCCACATTCCCAAGGGACTTTGCTTATCAGAAGGTTGCAAAAAGAGATCGCGTGACCCTGGGACACTGCAGCGGTCATAAACACGAGTCCATTTCCAAGCGTCTGAATTTTGATCACGTAACTACGGGGAGGACAAGATGGTCATAAGTGTGAAAAGTGCCGTAAGTCACATTTTTTTCAGGGCTGTTGAAACTTTGGTCACTAAACAAACCATTGTAAGTCGAGGACCGCCTGTCCTGTGGTCCTTGGGGAGTTTCGAAGAGTCTGCTTTTCATTCTTCTCCTCATCCGCCATTTTCCACCACGCAAAAAATTCAGCCCTGGAAAAGGATAACCAACCCAAAAGAATTGCTCTTTATGCACGTCGTAAATTATGCAGCTCGCTGGAAAGAACAGCTCAATGTTATCTCCGTCACACAGCTCCGCCGCCGATTTTTCCATGCTTCTTTCCTTGCCAGCGCAATTTGTTTAGCCTTCCATAAATTTTAAAAGTATATGAGAACGATCAGGAGAAGGCGTTCGAAGAAACAAACTTTGCAGAACTGGGTGCGACTGACAGACTCCGCAGCTTCTCGGAAGCTTGAATTTTCTTGAAACAATAGATTTACCCAAATTGGGGCAGACGTGGAGCTCCCATCGTCCCCAGCCAGCAGGATCTGCTTCCCAACGACGGTGGGCTTTGTTGCATTGGGAAGAAGCTAATTCTCGATTTACAACAATTCGCTAATGACCGTTCGAAGTTACAAAGACACTGAGAGAGAGAGACTTATTTTCACACGGTTGAAACATCCTTATGATCAAAATTCAGACACTTGGCCAACGGACTCTTATTTATGACAGTTGCAGGGGGCCTGGGGTCATGTCATTCTCTTTCGCGACCTTCTGGCAAGCAATGTCAACCAGATTCACTTAACAACCGTGTGACCAGCTTAACCACTGCAGCGAGTCACTTAACAAACTGTGGCCAAACGGTCGTAAAATGGGGCAAAACTCACTGAACAACTGTGAAACGTGGGGCTCAATTGTGGTTGTAAATTGAGGACTACTTGTAGTTCGTTTCCGGAGGTGGGGGAAAGGGCAAACTGAATGCCTCTGAAAACATGGACACGATGACAGAGACTAGAATCATGATTGGGTGGGGTTTCGCGGGGGCTTCTCTGGAGAAAGAGGAAGACGAAGAGTCTATGGAGATTCTCAGTCATCCATGGTCACGATAGTCCCAAAGGTGCTTTTTCAAGAGGCAACTGTGTCACTGCGTTTTTTTATTTCCCAGCTGAGCTTCATTATTTTTGGACTAATAGACTTACTGTAGTTTGCCAAGTTCCTTATCAGTATTTTACTACACATGTCCGCATTCTTTCACTTGCTTCACACACTCTTTCCTTTGTTCTCTTGCCAGCAAGGTCCGGCTGAGATAGCCGGCAAAAGCTATTTCAAAAATGTAGCAATTACTTTTCTTAGTTAGTGAGGTGTTTTATTTTCTTTATAACAAATAAATGAGTTTTATTAGAGAACTTTTCTTCGTGTTTTTTTTTTAGAATATTGCAACAAGGAGGAGCCACGATCCATCCTCTAATTAACCAGGGTGATTTGTCCCAGAGCCAAAATGGGATTAATCAACGCCTTGACAAACTGGACTTTCTTGATTTTTCTTTGAAGACACCGATAAATCTCCAAATGGCCTCAACGACCCTCTAAAAAGGATGCAAAGGACCAGCTGTCTGCAAGGAATATAAATCCTTCCAGTCCCCACCATCCTGTGAGAGCTGAAGAAGCTTCTCGTACGAGAAGAGAAACATCTTCAAAAGAAAAACCAAAAAGTCCAGTTGCCTCTTGAAAAAAAAGCACCTTTGGGAGAAGATTAAGAGATTGTCCACTTGTGCTCCGGGCAGCTGTTCCCCTAGAGGAAAAGTGCAGAGTTTAAAGGATTCTGCAGGCACCTTGTGACCAACTGGGAATCAGAAAGAGCATCACATTCGCAACTCAACAAACCTTTTTAAAGAGAGGATGCTAGTTAACAGGGGGTAAAAAAAGTAAAAAAAAGATGGTGGCCTTGACTATAAGACTGAAGGTCTACCTTTTTTAAAAAGTCCTCATAGTCAATACCATTGAAGATACCCTTGATGGTATTTAATTTGTCTAAATTACAGTTAAAGTCAGAAACCTATTTTGGGGAAGGGGACAGGAGAGAGAATAGACCTGCGAACTTCCCCCAGAAATCTCAGAGGATTTATAAAAATGAGGGATTTTCATCCACACGGAGAGGGGTAGATCTAGAATTCCTAGAAGAATATAAATTCAACTGAAGAACAAGGAAAGGTGTCATCTAGCAGATACAACCTTTAGGTTGAATGAATTCATCAGCCTTCCATTCCAGTTCCACCTTTTTAGAAGATATTTTCTTGCAGAATCTGTTAGGATATGGTTTGAGCCTAACAAGTTGTCCAGGCAATATATGTGTTCTGTAACTTTAATATGAAAATGTATTATGTGACTTTAAGGCTTTAATGCTGAGTCATGCTGTAATTAGGTAATGTCTGGTTGTGAGAGTATTTAAGCAAGGTATTGTAACGTGTTCAGTTGCTGCTATGATATGCTGCCATTGTGTATGAAGCTGATGTGATATGCTGCCATAGTGAGGAGTTGCTAACATTCTGCTAATCATCGTTTGATGGATCTGCAACCATCGTGGTTTGTGAACCAGAGTGAGTTTGTTATTCTAACCAACTCATGTTTGTTTGGTAAGAAAATATCTGTAACTACTGGACTGATTTAACTGGCAAAGACTTGGAATTTGTTTAAAGACTATGAGACTGTTTTTTCTACTATAAAGTAAGCTTTTGATAAACCAGTTTGCATATCTCTTATTCATTGCTCTCAGCAACGTTTCCTTGTGCATTTACTCTGCTGGTTGGTAACACAACACCAGCATAGCTGGCTGGAGAATTCTGGGAGTTGAAGTTCACAAGTCTTAAAGCTGCCGAATTTGAAGACATCTGCCTTAAATCAACGATGGAGACACAGTGTGGGTACCGGTGGCCGGTCCAGCATCCCTGCCCACTTACCTTGCAAAAACACACCGCAGTTTGTTTTGGCCCAAACTTGAAACAACCAAGCATTCAGGGTTTCCCTTCAGTCAAAACCCAGCCAGTCAGAAATGGCCGGGCCAAACTTCCAGAAATCGGTAGATTATTTGGGGTTCGAAACAAAGAGCTTCCCTATTTAAGGAAGGATCGTTCACACCATCCTCACCCAGAATTCCAAGTTGTGATTGAGGTTCCTGAAGAGTCCCCCGACTATGGCTGCCAGGTGGATGACGTGGGTGGGCTTGTGTTTCTCAAAGAGGGCTGTGGTCTCTGCGGCATTCCTGGAGGAGAGAAGAGAGGAGAGGTGGAAGGCAGAGGACACCTTTCCCTGGACGTGCCACATGGGTTCCAGGCAGGACGGGGATACAGGTGAAGTCTGGGTGGACTTCAACTCCCAGAATTCCCCAGCCATCATGTTTTAAGATGGGTGGACTTCAACTTCCACAATTCCCCAGCCATCATGTTTTAAGATGGGTGGATTTCAACTCCCAGAATTCCCCAGCCATCATGTTTTTTGATGGGTGGACTTCAACTTCCACAATTCCCCAGCCATCATGTTTTAAGATGGGTGGATTTCAACTCCCAGAATTCCCCAGCCATCATGTTTTTAGATGGGTGGACTTCAACTCCCAGAATTCCCCAGCCATCATGTTTTTAGATGGGTGGACTTCAACTTCCACAATTCCCCAGCCATCATGTTTTAAGATGGGTGGACTTCAACTCCCAGAATTCCCCAGCCATCATGTTTTTAGATGGGTGGACTTCAACTTCCACAATTCCCCAGCCATCATGTTTTTAGATGGGTGGATTTCAACTCCCAGAATTCCCCAGCCATCATGTTTTTAGATGGGTGGACTTCAACTCCCAGAATTCCCCAGCCATCATGTTTTTAGATGGGTGGACTTCAACTTCCACAATTCCCCAGCCATCATGTTTTAAGATGGGTGGACTTCAACTCCCAGAATTCCCCAGCCATCATGTTTTAAGATGGGTGGACTTCAACTCCCAGAATTCCCCAGCCAGCATGTTTTAAGATGGGTGGACTTCAACTCCCAGAATTCCCCAGCCATCATGTTTTTAAATGGATGGACTTCAACTCCCAGAATTCCCCAGCCACCATGTTTTAAGATGGGTGGACTTCAACTCCCAGAATTCCCCAGCCATTATGTTTAAAGATGGATGGACTTCAACTCCCAGAATTCCCCAGCCATCATGTTTAAAGATGGGTGGACTTCAACTCCTAGAATTCCCCAGCCATCATGTTTTAAGATGGGTGGACTTCAACTCCCAGAATTCCCCAGCCAGCATGTTTTAAGATGGGTGGACTTCAACTCCCAGAATTCCCCAGCCATCATGTTTTTAATGGATGGACTTCAACTCCCAGAATTCCCCAGCCAGCATGTTTTAAGATGGGTGGACTTCAACTCCCAGAATTCCCCAGCCATTATGTTTAAAGATGGATGGACTTCAACTCCCAGAATTCCCCAGCCATCATGTTTTAAGATGGGTGGACTTCAACTCCCAGAATTCCCCAGCCAGCATGTTTTAAGATGGGTGGACTTCAACTCCCAGAATTCCCCAGCCATCATGTTTTTAAATGGATGGACTTCAACTCCCAGAATTCCCCAGCCAGCATGTTTTAAGATGGGTGGACTTCAACTCCCAGAATTCCCCAGCCATTATGTTTAAAGATGGATGGACTTCAACTCCCAGAATTCCCCAGCCATCATGTTTAAAGATGGGTGGACTTCAACTCCTAGAATTCCCCAGCCATCATGTTTTTAAATGGATGGACTTCAACTCCCAGAATTCCCCAGCCACCATGTTTTAAGATGGGTGGATTCAACTTCAACCTTGCTGGCTGGGGAATTCTGGGAATTGAAGTCCACCCATCTTAAAGTGACCAAGGCTGAAAAACACTGTCCCAGTTTCAAGAACCCAGCTTAGACCTCCCTCAAATGTCTTCTCCAGATGTTTCCAGATCCTCCAACTGCTACAAACCCAAGTCAGAACTTCCATAAATCCGGCAGAAAACCTCACGCACTCACGTCAAGTCGGCTTCTTTGGAGGACACAAATATCCATTTCTCGTCCGGGCGCGCTGTTCCCCGTCAGCAACCACCTTCTGAATGGCCTTTCCCACCAGGCCAGAGCCGCCCGTCACCAGGATCCGTTTTTGCTTTTCTGGCTCAGCCATCAATACGAGTTCTGCAGAGAGGAGATAAGATAGGTGATGGATGGATGATAGAGATAGATGAATTGATAGAGATAGATAGATAGATAGATAGATAGATAGATAGATAGATAGATAGATAGATAGATAGATAGATAGATAGATAAGGTACAACACTTAATGATAGTCATAGGGAACAAATAAGCAATCAAATCATACTAGGAAACAATCAGATAGATAGGTAGGTAGGTAGATAGGTAGGTAGGTAGGCAGATAGATAGATATAAAAAAGGGGTTCAGTTTTGGGGTCTTCTGCCCTTAATCAATGTTACTTCCATCAGGGGCTCTGGAGGATTAAATCAAGCCAAGATCAATCATCATTAAACCATTGCAGAAAAGGCTGATGCTGGCTAAGAAGAAAACAGAATGGAGGTTTCTTTCTAAACCATCTCTGCTTCTGATGGGGGTGGGGGTTCCCAGCCCCTCCTAGCACTCTGGACATGTTCAACTATCCTTCTGACCAGGAGATCAAATTGGGGGCATGGAGGTGGGAGAGGAGAAGGGGCAATTTTTCCCCCATGCTCAAGAAACCATGGTTTATAGAACTCACCCAAAGCACTAGCCTAACCCCCGATTGTTGGTTTGGGGGGAATCTAACCCATAATTTTGCTCTTGGCGATAGGAAGGAACCCCCTTCCCCCTTGCCCCCAAACCCCCTCCCCTCGCTTATTGGATTGCATTTTAGTCCCTTCTGACCAAGGGAAGAGCAGGAAGCTCTCCCTGTCTCCCATTTGCTCCTGCACGACGACCCTGTAAGGTAGACCACCCCCTCCCACAAACACATATGCCCAAAGACATGAAAAAAAAGTCGGGTTTTGGGGGTGGGAGAGGGGGCTGAAACAGTTCTCCCCACTTTTTTTCCAACGGCCCGACCTCAGCCTCCCCCTCCCCACCGCCTTCCAGACGACCCCCCGCCCTAACCCGTAAATCTGACTTAACCCAGGACCGCTGGAGCTCTTCGCTTTCCCCGCAGCGATTGTCTCCCGATCGTTTCCTGGTCTACGTGGACTTCAACTCCCGGCATGCCTCGGCCCGCGCGGCCTTTGACTGAGGCTTCTGGGAGTTGAAGTCCCACAGCCCCGGGGAAATTGCCCGGCTGGCTCGCTCCGCCTCGCATCCTTTTGCCTTTCAGCCAGTTGCATGTTCCTTTCGGGTTGCGGACCCGCAGGAGGACTTTTTGGGGGGGGTGGAGGGTGGTCCCAAGGGATTTGCAAAGGCGACCCTGGTTGGGGATGGGTGGATTGCGTGGGGGGGGGGGCTAGGGGGGTGTTTGCAGATCCCAGGACAGAATTTACGGGATTTAAATCTGTTTTTAAATTATTGGGATGTTTTAAATTTGTCTCGGGCTAAATTGTTTAATCTGGTTTTAATTATATCTTTTAACTTTTGTATTTATGTATTTTATTTTGTGCCTGTTCACCGCCCTGAGTCCTTTGAGAGTAGGGCGGTATATAAATCTAATAAAACAAACAAACAAACAAACAATTGGGGGGTTGGGGGGGGGGAGAGAGAGACCCTTGCAGCCCGGGCTTGGAGCGAGGTCTCTGGATCTCCCGCTGCAAGGAAGGGAAGGGCATCCCGGGCAGGGATCGTCGTTGCCCGTTTTTATTTATTGGTTCGATTTATATGCCACTCTTCTCCGGAGACTCAGGGCGGCTTGCAATGCGTTAAGCAATAGCCTTCATACTTTTATATATACCTGCTTAGTAGGGCTTTCGCCCCCCCCCCCAAGTGGTGTTCTTTTTTATACAAAGTCAGCTTATTGCCCCCACAATCCGGGTCCTCATTTTACCTACCTCGGAAGGATGGAAGGCTGAGTCAACCTTGAGCCTGGTGAGATTCGAACTTGCAGTAATTGCAGGCAGCTGGTGTTACTTAACAGCGTTTTAATCTGCTGCACCACCAAGGCCATTAGGGTGGCATCTTCGATGTGGGGAGACGGTCTGCAAAGCACCCTAAGTGGCCTCTCCAAGCTTCCCACCTGGCTACAGGTACTCCTCGAATTACGACAGTTCATTTAGTGACCGTTCCAGGGAGTGGTGTGGTAGCCTAGAGATGGAGCTCTCGCCTCACAATCAGAGGGGCTGCGAGTTCAATCCTAGGTAGATAATTTAGACCCACCTTTCGGACCCCAGGGACCACTAAAGTCATAATTTTAAATCCCGCGGACCACTAATATGATCTGCCTAATGAATGGCTGGGTGGGCGTGGCAAGGTGGTCATGTGACTGGGTGGGCGTGGCCAACTCAATGTCACTCACGTTGAGGGGCACCTTGCCAGCCTCTACTCGCCACTCCTTGCCTGCCCATCCGGGCTCCTTAGGGCCCCAACAGGAAGCAGCCATCATGAGAAAGAGTTGGCAAAATAGCTCAGTTCAAATTGGATCTGATCGAGAAGGAGGCTCGGCAGAAGCACCTCACTGAGGACTAGGAGCATAGGCTTTCCAAGCAGAGGGAGGACCTGCGGGAGTGCAAGGCCAGGTACCGGCGCCTGGAGGCTCAGCAGGCTGAGATGGTCAGCCAGTTCCAGACCATGATGCAGTCCCACTGGAACGAGGCCCTCCAGCTCTTCGCCCAAAGCCCCCTCCCCCAGGAGGCTGAAGCAGACCCCAAGTCGGAATTTCTGCCCCCTCCAACCTGCACAAAAAGACCCCAAAGGGGGAGACTCTCTGCAGCAATACAAACATTCATTGCACATATCCATAGTTTGAGGACCCCTGATTTAGTGCAATATAAAAAATGCAAATAATTTTTCTGCAGACCACCAAAATTTTCTCGCGGACCATCAGTGGTCCACAGACCATCAGTTGGTGACCGCTGATTTAGACTAGAGCCATGGTGGACGGTTAGAATGCAGCACGGCAGGCTATTTCTGACTGCTAGCTGCCTGCAATTTGGTAGTTCAAATCTCCCCAGGCTCGAGATTGACTCAGCCTTCCGTCCTTCCGAGGTGGGTAAAATGAGGACCCAGATTGTTGGGGGCAAGAGGCTGACTCTGTAAACTGCTTAGAGAGGACTGTAAAGCACTGGGAAGTGCTATTGCTAAGTGGGAAGGAAGGAAGAAGGGCCGTGGTGGAATAGTGGTTAGAGTGCAGTATTGCAGGTTAATTCTGCCGACTGCCAGAAGTTCGATCCTGACCAGCTCAAGGTTGACTCAGCCTTCCGAGGTCGGTAAAATGGGGACCCGTTGGGGGCAAGAGGCTGACTCTGTAAACCGCTTAGAGAGGGCTGTAAAGCACTGTGAAGCGGTATATAAGTCTAATTGCTATTGCTTAGAGGCAGATATTTCTCTCTCTGGGCGCAATGAGAATATATCTGCTGAATAAAACTCCGCATTGGTGACAGGAAAGGCATCCGGCCAGTAAACACTCTGTTAGCTCCCTTCAGTTGCCCAGACTCCACCCCACAAGGGATTATGGGGTCGTTAAACCATGATGATGATGATGATTTAGTGACTGTTGAAGCTTAGAATGGTACTGCAAAAATTGACTCTGCACATCAGATAGGTCCCATTGAGAAGCAAAACCATGCCCAACATCAAACTTTCAGAAATCCGGGGGAAATGAAATGAATTTTATTTTTTGGCAACCTTTTCTGATGTTAAAGCTGGTGGCAAGCCAGAAAGCATTTCGCGCCGAATTCCTGGCTCTGCAAAATAATTTGCGAACAGTAATTTGCGAACAGTAAGCAAAATACACCCATGTGACAATTCCACAAACTGTGTGTGGGTGATGAAATATTCCTAGCACTCCAGAGATGCATGTTTGCAAACAGCTTTTCATTTGGAGTTTAGGATTGCAGGGTATCAGCGAATCTGGAAGCAAATCCTTAGAATTGCCTTGTTTTGGAGAAAGACAGTGTTTGTCAACCTTGAAAATGTTTTTAAGATATGTGGACTTCAACTCCCAGGATTCCCTAGCCAGTAAGGGAATTTGTGCTGACGGGGGAATTCTGGGAATTGAAGTCCACACATCTTAAAATTGCCAAGGTTAAAAAACATTGTGCTAGAATGATGATCCTTGTTTATTTTATTTATTTATTAAATTTATATGCCGCCCATTTTGCTATTAAGTGACTCTGGTTGGATTACAGTATGATTAAAAACAACAATACAAAACATCAAATATTAGTATATTAAGAAAAATTAGCGTTGATACTTGCAAGTGCTTGTTCTCCTGTTTCTGCTCTGTCTGCTCTTGAAATCAATTAGTCTCACTTTCGCCTGCAGAGTTGGTCGCGACGTCTGGCTCTGTTTAAAACAGAGTTGTCCCGGATCCGGAGCTTCAGTGGGCTGACCGGGGAGCTCTCGTCCTCCAAGCCCCTGGAGTTATTCCAGGGGCTTATGGGGAGCTCTACCCACATCCACCGGCTCTCCTCTCCCTCTTCTCCCGATGGAGAGGTTTTCAAGCCGTCAAACAGCTGATTAGCGCTGTCAAAGCGGCTTTAACGAGATCACGGGGCTGGCGGTCCGAAGAGACCGTCCGCAACGCCGGCGGTGCCAACCGAAAGTCCGGGTTAGGTGCCTCTTATCGCTCAACGATTCTATGAAATTCAGTTTGGGCTAGCGATTAAGGCACCAGGTAGAAACTGAGAGATGATGAGTTCTAGTCCCACCTTAGGCATGAAAGCTGGCTGGGTGACTTTGGGCCAATCACCAGGAGACTGTAAGTTCTAGTTCTGCCTTAGACTTGAAAGTCAGCCGGGCGACTTTAGGCCAGTCACCAGGTCACTAAGAGTTCTAGTCCCATCTTAGGTACGAAAGCCAGCTGAGTGATTTTGAACCAAACAACAGGAGACAGTGAGTTCTAGTTCTGCCTTAGGCATGAAAGCCAGCTGAGTATCACCAGGAGATGGTGAGTTCTAGTTCTGTCTTAAACATGAAAACCAACTGAGCTTTAGGTGCAGAAACCGGCTAAATGACTTTGGGCCTGTCCCTCTCTCCCAGCCCAATCCACCTCACAGGGTTGTTGTTAAGATGAAAAAATAGGATTACCGATGTTCACTGCCTTGAGTTACTTATAAAAGCAATAAAGCAATTTTTATTGTTTCAAACAGTTTGTAGCATTTTTTAACATATATACAGTATATACACACAGTATATGCTATGAACAGTTTAAAACAGTAAAAAACCTTTATTGCTTCGATAGACAAGACAGATAGATAGATAGAAATAGATATAGATATAAATATATATTATATATATTTGAACTGTTAACCGCCCAGAGTCACGGACTGAGATGGGCTGCTATGAAACTTACATAAAGAAAAATAAGAATAAATAAAATAAAAGCAGGAGATAAATAAACCTAAGAAGACAGATTGGTGGGCGGGCAGTTCTGCGACTTCCGTGAAAAGGCCTTTCTTAGCTCCAAGGAGAACATTCCTTCGCATGCCACTGTCCAGCCAAAAGGCAGCAACCGGTCAGCGGCCAAACCTCCAACAGCTGGGCAGTGCATCCTATTAACTCCACACAATGGATGCCAGAGAGAGAGAGAGAGAGAGAGAGAGAGATGGCTGGTCCTCAAAGGACCTATTCTTGCTGGGACAAAGCTGGCTTGAGCCGGCCGCCCCCTCCCTCCCTCCCTCCGAAGGCTGCCTTGCATTCCAGGCTCGGTTACCAAGAGCCACTGAAGACGGGGAGGGAAGGATTGGCAAGAATGCCCCAAAGGAAGGCAGCCCCCAAATACAGAATCTTTCCCATCAAATCTGGAGAGAAGATGTTTGTCAGCTTTAGCTCAGGGGGGAAGGTTGTAGGAGGGCAGCCGGGTTATCTTGGGAGTGGGGGGCAAACAGAATAGCAGAGTACAGAGTTGGAAGGGACAGATTGAACAGATTTAATAGATTAACAGATTTGGAAGGCACCTTGAAGGTCTTCTAGTCTGGTTCTGCCCTTGTTTAGTTTCCATCCGTTGCTTCTTCAGGTGCCTTCAGGTGCTTTGG